GTATTGATTCGGTGCAAGCTCAACATATCGGCGAATATACATGTTTGGCAACAAATAAGGCCGGAGCTGCGAGATATTCAACATTTTTACATGTTAATGGTATACACAGTTTAATGTGATTTTAATTTATTTCCACATAGTCCTGCCTCAAATCGTTCCATTTGACTTTGGTGACGAAGCAATTAATTCTGGGGATTTAACTTCGGTCATGTGCTCAATTAGCAAGGGTGATTTACCAGTCGCAATTACATGGCAACACAACAATAAAACAATAGATGAATCGTATGGCGTGTCGATTACGCAAGTAAACAAAAAGATCAGCACGTTGAGTATTGACTCTGTGCAGGCGCATAATATCGGCGAATATACTTGTAGCGCACGTAACAAGGCTGGAACTTCGAGTTATTCAACATTTTTACATGTCAACGGTACTTTCTTAGTTGTTTTATTCATGTTTTATTAAGTTTTCCTACTGTATCGTAGTACTTCCACAAATCGTTCCTTTCGACTTCGGAGATGAGGCCATAAACTCGGGCGACGTTACTTCGTTAACTTGCACAGTGAGCAAAGGCGATTTACCCGTCACAATCAGCTGGATGCTGAATAACCGTTCAATTAGTGACGGCGATGGTATTTCCATGACCCAGGTCAACAAAAAGATCAGCATGTTGAGCATTGATTCTGTGCAAGCATATAATATCGGCGAATATACATGTGTTGCAACGAATATAGCAGGAACATCGAGTTATTCTACTTATCTACACGTGAATGGTACTATTGCATGTTTATTTTTTTATAGTATTGCCTCAAATACATCCCTTCGACTTTGGCGAAGACCCTATCAATTCTGGCGAATCCCTTTCGTTGACTTGTTCGATCAGCAAGGGTGATATGCCCGTTACAATCAACTGGTTATTCAACAACCAGACAATTGACTTGGATGCCGGTGTTTCTATTATAAAAGTGAACAAAAAGAACAGCATGTTGAACATTGACTCTGTTCAAGCTCATAATATAGGAGAATACGCCTGCACAGCTACGAATAAAGCTGGCACATCGAGATATTCTACATATCTACACGTTAATGGTACAATTTTGATTTGTTTGAAATTATTATGTTCTACTCAGTTCTTCCCCAAATCGTTCCCTTTGACTTTGGTGACGAAGATATCAACTCTGGCGATTTAGCATCGCTCACTTGTTCGATTAGCAAAGGTGATTTACCAGTCGCAATTACTTGGCAACACAACGATAAGACAATAGACGTCGCGGACGGCGTGTCAATTACACAGGTCAATAGAAAGATCAGCACGCTGAGTATTGACTCAGCGCAAGCGCATAATATCGGAGAATATACCTGCATAGCTACGAATAAAGCGGGAACATCTCGTTACTCGACGTATTTGCACGTTAATGGTACTTACTTATCTACTCGTTTTGTTATAGTCGTTTGTTTTGCTTTCTGTAGTCCTTCCACAAATTCTTCCCTTTGACTTTGGTGAAGAGCCTATCAATTCAGGCGATTCGACGTCTATCACGTGCTCGATTAGCAAAGGTGATTTACCGATCAACATCACTTGGACTTTAAATGGCAAGCCGATTCAGATGAACGAATACGGCATAAAAATCAATCAGGTGACGAAGAAGTTGAGCGCGCTTAGCATTGACTACGTCGACGCAAATCACGTCGGTGAATATTCCTGCGTTGCCGCAAATAAAGCTGGTGTCAGTCTATCCACTGCATATTTACACGTGAACGGTATACGAGTACTTTATTTATAAAACAAGACATCGGTGCTTTAGTTGCATTTATATCTCTGCATGCAGTAGCGCATATGTTATTTCCTTTTTTATCCATCCAGTGCCACCGCAAATTTCTGCATTTGAATTTGACGATGGCGTGAACAAAGGAGACGCTATTTCGACATCGTGTAATGTGAACAAAGGCGATTTACCGCTGACAATTGAATGGAAATTAAATAACCAACCGATTAGTGAAACAGAAGGTGTGATCGTCAATTTGGTCGGCAAACGCGGAAGTTACTTGAGCATTGATTCCGTCGATGCGGTGCATGCAGGCACGTACACGTGCCATGCTGAAAATAAAGCCGGATATGATATGTACTCCACAACGCTTAACGTCAACGGTAACACGATATATCAACTTACTTTGTATGTTTCTTGCATCCGATTTAGTTCCACCTCAAATCCTTCCGTTTGAGTTTGAAGAAAAGGTTAACACTGGCGATACAATTTCCGCAACTTGCAGCGTTAACAAGGGCGATTTTCCCATTGAAATATTTTGGACTTTGAATAATAGAACTGTTGATCAATATGGAGGCATTTTAGTCAGTGCTATAGGAAAACGCGCAAATTACATGAGCATTGAAGTCGTGGACGCATCGCATGCGGGCGAGTTTACGTGCCACGCACGAAATCCCGCCGGGACGACGAGCTACACAACGGAATTGCATGTGAATGGTACATTTTAATTATAGTTGGTCGTTGTGTTTTTCCACATTTCAGTTCCGCCTCAAATTGTTCCCATTGAACTCGGTGCAGAGAAATTTAACACAGGCGATATGGTTTCGTTGACCTGTACGGTCAATAAAGGCGATTTGCCGTTGAAAATTACGTGGACCTTAAACGGGAAAACTGTTGACGAGGTGCAAGGCGTCATTGTTAATTTGGTCGGTGTGCGGAGGAGTTATTTAAATATTGATAATATCGACGCTGAACATGCAGGCGAATATGTTTGTCATGCTAGGAACTCTGCGGGAGTGACAAGTTACTCTGTTGAATTACAAGTCAACGGTAACAGTATACTGTTTCCATTTTTAATTGCAATTTTACACGCTTTTTCGAAATTGCTTACTATTTTTGATTTATTCCAGTACAACCGCATATAATACCATTTGATTTCGAAGGCGAAGTGAATAATGGTGACAGTGTACAGCTAAATTGTTACGTAAATAAGGGGGATTCTCCAATTCAAATTTCATGGTTGTTAAATGATAAACCGATTGAGTATGACGATGTTTCAATGGTACCTTTTGGTGGTAGAACAAATATTCTAACAATAGGGTCGGTACAGGCTCATCATATGGGCAACTACACTTGTAAAGCTGAAAATCGAGCTGGTTTCTCTACACATTTGGCCATTCTTCTGGTTAATGGTAATTTTTGTACATACAACGCGTTCAAATCCTATTTTCCTTATAGTTCAACCGCAAATTTTGCCTTTTGACTTTGGAGAAGAAAGTATTAATGCTGGTGACATGGTTACTGCGATTTGTTCAGTGAACCGAGGTGATTTTCCCTTAAACATTACTTGGTTCTTGAATGGCAAGAACGTGGGTACAATGGAAAGTATTCAGGTGTTTCATACAACGAAACGCACCAGTCAGATTTCTATAGATTCAGCACAAGAAGAACATTCTGGAGAATATTCTTGCGTGGCTCATAATCGAGCTGGCAGTTCATCATATTCTGCTAATCTTCTAGTCAATGGTATTGTCTGCATTTCAGTTTCAAGTAGTGTTTGTTTTTTATTAGTGCAACCGCAAATCCATCCCTTCGACTTTGGTGAAGACCCCATTAACTCTGGTGATATTGTATCAGTTACCTGCTTTGTGAATAAGGGCGATCTGCCGATTAATATAACTTGGTACTTGAATCATAAGCCTATTGATACCTCCGAAGGCATTTCGATATTTTTAACGAATAAACGCAGCAGTCAACTATCCATCGAAAACGTACAGGCCGTGCACTCCGGAGAATTCACTTGTGAAGCAGCTAATTCAGCGGGCAAAGCAATCCATAGTGCCCTTCTGCATGTTAACGGTATTTTATCAAACTGTTATAGTTTTGCCCAAACTCCTTCCATTTACCTTCGGCGACGAACCCTCATTCCTTGGCGAGTCTACTATCGTGCAGTGCAGCGTGTCAGCTGGCGACATGCCCGTGCAATTCACTTGGTTTCGTAACGGACAACCACTTGTTGATGACGGCAATCACAAAATAGGTTCATTCGGCAAGAAGACTTCGGTGTTGAGTATCGATTCGCTGTCGGAGGAGCACGCGGGGCATTACACGTGCGTCGCACATAATCGTGCAGGAATGTCCAGCGTGCAAGCTGAATTGAGTGTTAAGGGTATTTAATTTCAGGCTTATAAGATTGCCACCACTAGTTACTAATATTGCACGTGTTTGTTATTTTCCACATTCAAGTTCCGCCTCGAATTACCCCATTCGTATTTGAAGACAATCCGTTGCACGAAGGACAGTATGTGCAAGTGACTTGTTTAGCGTCTGAGGGTGATTTGCCAATAACGATTCAGTGGACGCTGAATGGTGAAAGTTTAGATAAATTTCCTGAAGTATCAGCAGCGAAGATGGGTAGACGTAGTTCATTTTTAACTATTGAAGCTGTATCGTACACACACGTCGGAAATTTCTCTTGCAGGGCGAGCAATAAAGCGGGAGAATCGATTTATACTTCACAATTATTCGTCAACGGTATTTAAAACTTTAAAAATAATTGTTTGATTGTTTTTCCTAAAGATCACCTTTGTTTTCCAAACAAATATCTTGTTAGGTCGTCATTAGTTGTCTTTTGAATCTTCAACAAATACTTTCGTTTCTAGTTTTACCGAAACTTCTTGCGTTTTCTTTCGGCGATGAACCTGCTTTTCTCGGAGATTCAACCAATGCCCAATGCAGTATATCAGTCGGAGATATGCCAATTCAATTTACGTGGTATCTAAATGGTATTCCTCTCACACAGGATGCTAATATAAAAATAGGTTCATTTGGTAAAAAAATGTCAGTTTTGACAATTGATTCACTATCGGAAGAACATGCAGGAAATTACACCTGTGTGGCACATAATCGCGCAGGAATGGCCAGTGCAGTAGCTGACTTAACTGTAAAGGGTACCTAAATTTAAGTTCTAAGATTGCCAGTATAATGACACTAAATGCACGTGTTCCTTTTGTCAGTCCCACCCAGAATCACGCCTTTTGTTTTCGAAGACAATCCTTTGCACGAAGGACAATATGTGCAAGTTATTTGCATTGCACCTGAAGGTGATCTACCGATTCAAATAGAATGGACGTTAAACGGCAAACAATTGAGCGAATTCTCTGAAGTGCAGGCGGCATCAATGGGTCGACGAAGCTCATTACTAACAATCGAAGCAGTATCTTACACGCACGTTGGAAATTACTCCTGCCGAGCGAGCAATAAAGCTGGCGACATGACGTACTCATCACAGCTACTTGTCAATGGTATTGATTACTAAATAATTCCACTGTGTGTTTATCCCGTAGTTCTACCTCGGATTAGTCCTTTTGAGTTCGAAGACGCCCCGTCGGAAACCGGGCAATACAACAACGTGCAATGTAGTGTCCCGCAGGGAGATTTTCCGCTCACAATTTCGTGGTTGTTCAATTCGCGACCAATAGACACACTTGAGAATGTTCTCATAACCGCTGTTGGAAAACGCAGTAGCTCCTTGTCGATCGAATCCATAAATTACGAGCACGCCGGGAACTACACTTGCAGGGCGGCTAATAGAGTCGGATCTTCAGAGTTTACCGCGCAATTAATCGTCTATGGTTAGTCAAATATTGTAATCGCTTGAAATACAGTTGTGTTTTTTTCTGTTTTGTTAGTTTTGCCTCACATTGTGCCCTTCGAAATACCTTCAGTTAACATCGGCCAAGCCCTGCAGGTTACATGCTTGGTTTCCGAAGGTGACCAACCATTGAAGTTCACATGGAGATTCAATGGGAAAAAGCTGGAAAGCACCGAGGGCATTCTTTCCATTTCGAAATTCGGCAAAAGCGCCAGCGGGTTGTTTATTGACGAGACTCTCGTTCAGCATGCTGGCAATTACACGTGCACGGCGCGAAATAAGGCCGGTGCCGTGCACATGACCAAAACGCTGGCCGTTCACGGTAGCCTGACTTATTCTTTCTGTCTGCCAATCGCAAGCAAACCATCTTTGATCTAATACGGCTTTCTGACATTGACAATGAAACATTACTAGTCTTTGCACAAACATAGGTCATGTTGTGTGTGAGTCGTATAACCATTCGTGTGTTTTTTTTGTGGGCGTAGGGACAATTAGCTTCATCTGAATAAATATCTCAGCCAAGTCATCCTTCATATCATCCTCACATCCTTATCATTTATCAACTATTGGCTGGGATACAGGGATGTGATCCTAATCTAACCTTTGCATCCTTTCACAACATTTTTTACGTAAATGCTATTGATTTTAACAGCATGCTTTTTAAATTTTTATTTGTCCCAAGTACGTTTTTGTTTGCACGAGGAGTTCATTAACAAATACATTTTCGGCATAACGATGCATGGCAAAAAGCCGTTTCAAAATTTGCATGAAAACATGAGGAAATCATGTAATTAGTGTAAAGTTGCAGCGATGAGCTGCAACTCAGATGAATTTTATATTAACGAGTTTGGTGTTTTTAGTGCCACCAAGGTGGATTCTTGAGCCGACTGATAAGGCTTTCGCTCAAGATTCCGATGCTGCCGTTGAATGTAAAGCCGATGGTTTTCCCAAGCCAACTGTCACATGGAAAAAGGCAACTGGTAATTTTTTAATACGTTTTTTTATTTAATGGGATCATATTTAACTTGATATTTTGTATCATTAGGTGAAACACCTGGCGATTACAAGGATTTAAAACCAAACAATCCTGATATTAAGGTTGAAGATGGTACTTTGATGATCAATAACATTCAAAAAATAAACGAAGGCTACTATCTTTGCGAAGCCGTTAATGGAATCGGGTCTGGATTATCCGCTGTCGTTTTGATTGGAGTACAAGGTAATTAATTTAATTACGCCTGCAAAACATTAGAAAGCTTTTAATTCGTTAGCGCGACGGGAATGAATTATTCAAATGAAATATAATGGACTTGTTTTTTTTATTACATAGCACCACCGCAATTCGAAATTAAACAACGTAATCATACATCGCGACGTGGAGAAGCGGCTGTTATGCAGTGCGAAGCCAAGGGCGAAAAACCAATTGGCATTTTATGGAACATGAATAACAAGCGATTAGAACCCAAGGGCGATTCTCGTTATACAATCCGCGAAGAAATTCTCCCGACCGGTGTATTATCCGCACTGAGCATCAAACGCACGGAACGTTCCGACACTGCCGTTTTTACTTGCGTTGCCACCAATGCTTTTGGCAGCGACAACACTAGTATTCACATGATTGTGCAGGAAGTTCCGGAAATCCCATATGACCTAAAGGTACTCGACAAGTCTGGACGATCTGTCCAACTCTCCTGGGTTGCACCATACGACGGAAACTCTAATATCAAGCGTTACATGATTGAATACAAACCAAGCAAATCTAGTTGGGAGCATGGTATGATGGAACGTGTACTTGTCCCCGGTGAACAAACCGAAGCTGGCGTCTTTACTCTTAAACCGGCAACGACTTATCATATCCGCATTGTTGCTGAGAACGAAATGGGAAGCTCCGATCCTTCAGACACCGTTACCATTATCACTGCCGAAGAAGTACCAAGTGGTCCGCCATCTTCTATTCGAGTTGAGGCACCAGAACAACACATGTTGAAGGTATTCTGGAAACCACCACCACGAAGTGAATGGAATGGCGAAATCCTGGGGTATTATGTTGGATACAAACTTGCATCAATGGACAAAGATAAGCCATATTTCTTTGAAACAGTTGAATTCAGTCGCGAGGAGGGCAAGGAACACCATTTACAGGTATGGACTCAATTAAGATTTAAGGATATTAAGTTACAGTGACTAAATTTATTTTAGATTAACAACTTGAAAACATACACGCAATATTCTATCGTTGTGCAAGCGTTCAACAAAGTTGGCAAGGGACCAATCTCTGAAGACCTGAAAGTATACACTGCCGAAGGTGCTCCGGAACAACCACCAGTAGATACGACCTGCACAACATTGACTGCACAAACTATTCGCGTTATGTGGGTATCGCCTTCTCTTACTGCCGCCAACGGAGTTATCAAGGGTTATAAAGTAATCTATGGACCATCAGAAACTTGGTTTGGTATGTTTTATTAATCAGGGTTATGAGTGTATAAATTAATGTCTTGAAAAAACTTTAGATGAAAACACCAAGGATGCCAAAATCACCGCATCAAGCGAAACCATTCTTCATGGACTGAAGAAATACACTAATTACAGCATGCAGGTTCTGGCCTACACCTCAGGAGGTGATGGTGTTCGCAGTCCCCCCATTCATTGCCAAACTGAACAAGATGGTTTGTACATATGCTGATTTATTTATTAAGAAAACGCTGATTTGGTTAAATTTTAGTGCCGGAAGCACCTACATCTGTAAAAGCTTTAGTTATGTCTGATGATTCGATTTTGGTCAGCTGGAAGCCCCCAAGTGAACCAAATGGTATTGTGGAACAATATACTGTCTACTTGCGTGAAGCTCCCGATGGCGAAGGCACTTCTAGTGATGCCAAACCTCTCAGTCACAAAGTTATTCCTAACATAAAGATCCAGAATTTAAGCTTCCAGGCCAAGGATTTGAACAAACAATTGAAATACGAATTCTGGGTGACTGCTTCTACCAATATTGGCGAGGGTCAAACTTCAGAAACTGTTACTGTGTCTCCTAGCTCCAAAGTACCTGCCAAGATTGCATCTTTTGATGATTCATTCACCTCTACATACAAAGAAGACGTTACTCTGCCATGCTTGGCTGTAGGTGTACCGCAACCAGAAATCAAGTGGAAAATTAAGGGATCTGACAACAACAATAATGATCGTATTAGGCAACAACCTGATGGCTCGCTTTTCATTCGGGATGTGCACCGTGATGATGCTGGTGAATATTCTTGCCGTGTGAACAATATTTTTGGCAACGATTCTATTACACACAAACTTGTTGTAAACGCGCCACCTCATTCTCCGCATGTAAGTTTAATATAATTTATCATATGTGAATTATAATTTATTGTATGAATTAGGTGAGTTTAACATCGACTACTACCAACTCGTTGACAATCAAATTGAAGCCTGATCCCTCTGACATTGAACCAATTCATGGCTACACCGTACACTACAAACCCGAATTTGGAGAATGGGAAACTGCGCAGGTCGCTAACAATATTGAGAAATATGTGCTGGAGAAACTTGTTTGTGGCACCCGCTATCAGGTTTATGTTACTGCGTACAACAGCATCGGCAACGGCGATCAGTCCGACAACTTGAACACACGCACTCGTGGCGAAAAACCAATTGGACCCAGTGCTGACAAATTTATCGTTGTTTCATCCAATAGCATTACTTTACACTTGAACGAATGGTCTGATGGAGGTTGCCCAATGCTATACTTTGTTGTTGAGCAAAGGAAGAAGTATAATTTAATAAGTTATCAAACGCAGATCGCAGATATAACTATCTATGTATATTTTTAGGACCAGTCCTGATTGGGTGCAGGTTTCGAACAATGTCAAAGTTACTGGCAATTTTGTGGTTTTGGATCTAGACCCTGCAACCTGGTATCATCTTCGCGTCACCGCTCACAACAACGCCGGTTTCACTGTTGCCAAATATGAGTTTGCAACGTTGACCGCTGCTGGTGGTAAGTTTTGTTTCCACTATAGGGCGTCTTCCTTTCTACTTGCAAACAATCGGAACAATAGTAACTGCAAGTGTCATCATTACATAACAAGTCGTACAACTCACAGAATCACACCACGTATAGGGATTGCGTTTCGGAACTTACATTTGTTTTCCCATATCCCGGGAATTATCATTCATTTTATTATCGTTTTCATTTCATTCACCACATAAAACCATTATCATTTGTTTTATCACGTCTTCGTTTTATATTGAAACTGTATTTGGTTTTTGATTTATTCAACTCGGTTTCATGTTTTCTTATTTGTCTTTGATTTACATTTTACTCTTTGTAAGCTGTAAGTCACGCAACGGAAACTGGAACACAAGGAATTACAAAAACTCATGTACTTTTGATATAAAATGATGATCATGTTTTAAATTGCTGTTTTTATATCATTTTAAGCTTCAGGTTTCAATTTTTTTTGTGCTTCTTGTTATTTTATTTTGTGATTTCAGTATTATTTGGTTTATATTTATTGATATTATTTTAATCATGTAAAATCATAATTTTTATTTTTATTACTATGCACCTAATACTTTGCAATTCCCGGGAAACTGGGAGGTAAAGTATTCCGATTCTCGCTTTCCCGGGAACTGTGCGAGTACCGGGATATACTGGATTGACGTGTTGTAATTATTTACAGCTACTATTGCTCCGGCCCGCGAGATTCCCAAAGAAGACACGATCCAACTAATCCTGGCTAACTTGAACCTCGTTGTCCCTGTGGTAGCCGCCGTTTTAGTCATTATAGTTGCTATTATCGTCATATGCGTGTTGCGCGGCAAAGGAAACTATCAGAAAGGTAATTGCTCCTCGTTCTTGAATTGTCTCTAGGTTCAATTGCACCAGTCCGTGAAGTATTCGGAACGAGGCTTTTGTTACCGTGGTTACCAGAATGGGTTGATCTGAACATCGCCGTACCCGTTGCGGCCACCGCTATCGTCGTCGCAGTGGGCATCATCGTCATTTGTGTTGCTGTCTCACGACGTGCTCTAGGACCAACTCAAACTCGTTTAACCAGCGATTGTATGTTATGCCTGGACAGTTTTGTTTTGATTTTGAATTTTGTTTTAAATTTTCCATTTTTGATCATGATATCAAATGGTTATTTTAATCATGATAATGCGTATTTTTAGATGATGTTGTTTACAATCAATCCGTGAACGCTGTTGGCACTTTGGACAAGCGGCGTCCTGACCTCCGCGATGAATTGGGATATATTGCACCACCAAACAGGAAGTTACCACCTGTACCTGGCTCCAACTATAACACTTGTGACAGGATCAAGCGAGGTACCATAAGTAAGAGTCCAGGCCTCCATCTAAGCTCATTTCAGCGCTGCATGCTAAATGTTATAATTTAACTTTTCTCTCGATTCAGTTTAATTAGAAATTTATGTAAATAATTTTGAAATCTAACTGGTGAGAGACAAAAGAAACGCTGGGAGCAAGGAGGATTCAAGGACTACATGGTTGTGTAAGTTTAGATTTTTCTTCATATTTAAATTGTGTACTAGGACCGCACTACCGCGCTCATGCGACCTGGGATCCCAGGAGACATTTATACGAAGAGCTGTGCAGCCGCAGGGGATCCAATGATACTATTCACAATCATCGAGGTAAAAACACGCTTACAAAGTACACTAAAACCTTTCATAACTGACATTCTTTCATACTAATCTTACTAACAATAACTAACATAACAAAATAAACTCCTACCTCTTCTCGCGTGTGGTTTTTGGAAATGGTGTGTGTAAATCTTAACATAAGTTACAAAGTATTCTTCGTAAGTACGTAGTCGTTTCAGCATGCTTCAATGGCTTTTAATCATTTAGTACGGTCACGAATGGCTTGAATTATTGCGTGTCGTATTTGTGGGTGTGTGTCTTGTACGAATTATAGGTATGTAATATTTTAGGCATGGACGACGAGATTTGCCCCTATGCCACCTTCCATCTGCTTGGCTTCCGCGAAGAAATGGATCCGACCAAGGCAATGCAATTCCAGACTTTCCCGCATCCCCACGCCGGTACTATGGGACCTTCCGGAATGGGAACTCCGCACCAGGCCCACTCTCGTGCCGGCTCTCAGTCAATGCCCCGCCAGAACCGACGATATGACAGAGTCGGCTCTCAAGGTAGTCAGTACTACACCCAGTGTACGTATCTTTCTCTTCATCAACACCTCATTTACAATCATTCATTAGCAAAAGCTCAGATCAAATCAATTGCCCATCATTTCATCGCGTTTGTTAGCTAATTAGGGTCCCCATTATCATTAATTCATAAACCTAAACCAATACAATGAATCAATGTAAAGCGATACACGGAAGGGAGTAAGAAATCTAGCTCTTAACAACTTTAGATGTTTACCTATTTAATTCGGTTTGTTTGGCCTTCTTAGTCATTACTTACCCCTTAATTTGTTACTATTACCGATGATTTACAACTGTTCGAATTTGAAAGTTTTGGTTCGGTTCATTTGATGTCTTATCTTATGCGTTCCTCTGTCTAGAAACGATTTGGGTATTATTTGAAATTTGATTCATTTTTAATAAAATCAAGTAGTGACAGAATATTATGGCTTAGTGTCAATTGTAGGTAATGGCAGCATCTATTCCCCTGGCCCTGAATATGACGACCCCGCTAACTGCGCCCCCGAGGATGAACAATACGGAAGCCAATATTGTGGATATGGAAATCCCTATGACCAATATGGTAGCCGTGGTTCAATTGGTCGTCGCTCTTTGGGTTCCCTTCGTATTCAGCCAACCGCCAGTAGCCCTGAGCCACCACCGCCACCACCACGCAATCATGATCCCAATGACTCGAAGGATAGCAACGAGATTTCTGAGGCTGAGTGCGATCGTGACCAATTGATCAACAGCCGCACCTATGGCGGTAAGTACTCCTCATTGTGGCACAACATTTAGTCATCATCATACAATCAGATCACATAACTGAACATCACAACATTCTTTATTACGAATATTGTTATCATACAGTTTACTAGCTAGGATTTTATTGAGTTATCTGTGTCTTAAGCTTTATTCAGTTAGCTTATGCATTTATTTATTTTTACAGAAAAAGAGGAGGGTAAGTTGAAACATACACACTGAGAGAAATCTAAATTAGCAGCCGAATTCAGTTGCATTTGTTGGTTTTTGTATTTAGATTAGGGTTTCATTCTTCACACATTACGCAATTACACTTTTGAGAAACTTATCATTGTCGCATGCACTGCGTGTCGCAACTGTAAATAACTTGATAACATGCGCATGCGATGCCCCCATTGTTTGTGATTAATTTGTTATTATTGTTTATAATTTGTAACGCACTCCATTTCGTAAACATGTGGTGGTCGTGGTAGTAAGTGTGATTTGTTTCAGTAATGAGAAATAGCGCTAAGGATGGCATGAACCACGAGGAAATGAGAAAACTGATTGAGAGGTAATTGTCCATAAAACATGTTCTTTCATCATTCATCATTTATTTGTATATATATTAAAATCGATTGTTCGGACTACTATGGTCAGTTCATGTAATAGAAGATAAAACGGAATATTGCGGATCAAGACGTTTGTTGGTGTAGTGAGCGTACTAGGGTTCGCGTGTGCTCGTGCACTGTGCGCGTAATACTTAAATGTAACTTCATAGTTTAAGCCAAGGTATTAAGATGCACTTTTTCCAATTCAAATTTGTATTGATTATAAATGACCGCGGTAAATAAGGCCACATCGATTGCACTTCTCGAGTCATTTCATCATTTCAATTCAATAGTGTTTTATTGCGAAAATTTTAATCATTGTGTATTTTTATGTTAATTTCTACCTCTCAAGCAGGAAAGCGTAAGTTTGGTAACAGTAATCAAAGCCGCTTTTGTAATTAAAATGCACTTGATTTTGCGAACTGTTTTGCGTTGAAGTTTTTGAAAAACACGTTTTATTTGATTGAAAATTTGACTTGTGGAATTGGTATACTAAACTCCTGCATGTATTGCTTTCTGTGTGTAGTTCTATGTTTGTTTTGGTTTTGTTCTCGTTTAATCGTGTGTCCTTGTGGTGGTTGTGATTATAGAAACGAAATCCCAGGGCAAGCCAACGGGGGACTCACAGCCTACGATACTATGGCAGTGTAATTTGTAAATCATTACAAGATCGACCAATAGAAGGGCGTCGACGAAGATCACACAGACGTCTGAACATCACGCAAATTTGGATTTTATTTGATTAACTACATTTACCAAACAGCGCAAAATTCGATTTAAATATTTCGATCGGCCGTAGGACAGTTTCTTTGGTCCCGTACTTATGAGACTGAATTTCCAGCGTTTACCCCTATGTTGCACAAATAATATTATCACTTTTGATTTGCGTTCAATTTATTGACGAAAGTAAGGTCGATCGCATAAGTTTCTATCGAACTCTGCGCGAGCGTTAATCTGAGCGTTGACTAGTATACAAACAACATAAACGCGATTATTTTAGTAAACATCACTGTGTGGAGTTCTTGATAATATCTTGGGAATGTTGGAGTTTTTTGTGAGGTTTTTGGATGGCTAGCGTTTTTGTATGAGTTCATCGGCTCAACGTGTCTTGTGATATTTTGAGGTTTGTGAGTCTTAATTTTTATTTGTTCATAACTTTTATTTGTAATTATTGTTTAATATTACTTTTGTAATTAATTCATTGACCGCAGCGAGAACTTTGGGGCGAATATTGATAATGACAAATGCGAAGTTTCTCCGTGTGAATTTGTGGCTTGCTTTTTACGTTTCTGTTATTCGTTTGTAAATGTAGTGCGTTTGTAGTGTTGTGTTGTGTTCGGGAGTCGCTTTATTTCATGTCGCAAGCAAACGTAATGTTTATTTTTTCGATACGTTCGCGTTTTTTAGGGTTGGCAGTTCGGTTTTCTTAGTTAGATAGCATCCGTCGCGCGATGGCGGCGGACACGTGTCGGTTTTATTACAAAGGTTGTGTCTGCCGATCCTCATAAACTTAGCTTACATTAATTAATCAACTATATTCAAGTAATACTAATTAAACAAACCTAATTGATAATTGATATTTACAAAGCAAAAACAAATTAACTATAATTAACGATATTGATATTTAATGATATTAATCGAAACTACTCCAATAGCTAACAATGTTTTCCCAAAGATAGGGCTGTGTAACGGGCCCCGGCCAACGGGGTATCCAATGCACATGTCACAAGAAATTTAGATGCAAATCTCATATATTAATCCAAACGTAAATTATATGATATATGATGAATATGATTAACAAGTAGCTAGAACTTAATTGATATAAATGTTTTTACCACATATATAAAACGGTATGCCCAAACAACAAACATTATAATCGAAAGTAGGTGTTTTGAAAATTTAACGAAAGTATTTGTAATCTCATTCAAATGGCACCTTGTTTTACTTTATCAATTATCAAAACATGTTTAGAAACGTTGGACTGATGCATTCACAAATTATAATTGATTCTTTTAAAATCCGGCAACAACTTTAACATTGTTTGAAATATTCATATAGTGTTGATTAGTTTAATTATGCAATAATGTTTAATAATTGATAATGTTTAACAGGGTATAATATAAACATTCAACTCTAATTCAATCTATTGAGGCGACTTGAAATTCGCAAGAATTTTACAAAACACGTGTGGAGACCGGAGAAAGGGCTTGTATTTAATTGTGGGCATTTATTTATTTTGTACATTTTTAAGAGGATGTTTTAACCCATTACCAAACAAAACAAAAAGAGAAGCTCATTTTTTGATACAATTTTTTCTAAAAAGAACGAAATGAAATGACTGACCAAGTCAACCGAGAATGGTGTGTCCGAAATTCTTGTCGGTTTTAATGTCGGCGAACCGCGCATTGATGTAATACTTCAACTTAAAATATTCGAATAATTCAAAATTACGAAATGTACTTCAAATGTTGGCTAGCAAAAAATAACAAACATATTTAACAAGCGAGTTGCTTCAATAATATTAAATGATACAAATAACTGGTAGCTATTGACAATTATCGTGTAGTAATATCGTTAGATGTTAAATGAAATAACGCAACGTAATGGCAATTCTCATAACAATTCATTTGGTTCATATCGCGCATGCAACAATGCAGACGGAATGTAAACGTACAAATTCGGTTCTTTTTCATCGTTTCAAATGTGGCGGGGTGAATAATATAGTTCAGAAGATTAGTCAACGTGCAACCAGTTAGGTGCAAAACGTATGAGCAAGTTCCTAATTGCCCGAAATGTAGAAGAAATGAGCGAGGTGCTTGATTGCCACACACTTTTTTACTAGTCACCTGTAATTATTAATTTACCGCCGCGGTGCAAGAAGAATAACTTACGGTCTTTACATAGAAAGCAAAAAAAGAGCGGAGCAAGTTGACATGAGTTTATTCAGTTCAATTTTGTCAATGATTTTTGATAATTCTGTTTACAATAACTAATTATTAACATACTTATATATCTAGTAATAATTAATGCCATAATAAGTGTAATGTAAGTGTGCTATATACTCGTAGTGATTAACTAATTTTACCCAATTTATCTTAACAATATTTGCTATTCTCTTATAATCGTGCGTATATATACATATATAATTTTTGTCTTGTATAATTATGACATCACATGATATTTAGTCATGCTTGAATCAATTATTTGCCAGTGATTATTTACTGTTTTCAAACTCAAGCAAAGAAACATACGCAAACAGAAGCTCATATGCAAACTATTGATTGACAGAGCAAAACACAGTAATGAAGTTCAGTATGCTTCAATTACTATACTCGCTGACATCTAACATATATTTCGTAATATGTACACGAATAAGTTTATTGTTTTATTCTAATCTCGCTTGAGCTACTCTATTATATTATATAATAATGTTCATTATGTATAGAAGCGTATGCGTTTTTGGAAACTATAAGAGCGCTGCGCCGCATATTTGCCGCATGTATACCAAAGTATTGTTTAATTCTTATTCGATTTCCGTATGAAAAATTAAACAAAAAAATGTACCGCTTTGTGTTTCATTTTTAATATCCTTTCCATGGTGACGGATATTATCAATTTGATTATGAAACAATTTCATTGAAATTGTGATTGTTTTATTGTCCAGTGACGGATTACATTGTTCTGACATAAATTAAGATGTTCTAGTCAAAATTATCATAATTTACATTATAAATTTTTTGTGCCGAAATTTACAATGTCGCTGTTGAAAATTCTTTCAAATGTATTACCAAAGACCTCGCTTCAATCGCGTTGCTATATGGCTTCACTGTCCAACATTAAAGTCACATTATGCGGCGCAGGAGGGCAAATTGGGCAACCTTTGAGTCTACTGTTGAAACAATCACCATTTGTCGATGAACTTGCTCTTTACGATTCGCAGGAGATTAACAGCCTTGCAATGGAGTTGGGTCATGTGGACACCAAATGCGTTGTTAATTCATACTGCGCAAATAACTTTGCTGAAGCATTTGATGTAAGTGATTAATTTATTCGAAAGTATTAAATTATTCAATCTTTTGGTAATTTTTCAGAAAGCGAATGTTGTAGTCATTGTGTCGGGATTACACGCAGTTGGAAAAAAAGCTTCAGAACGCGTGTTTCCCAAAAACGCCGTTATTGTACAACAGATAATTTCGCATGTTGCAAAAATGTGCCCCCAAGCGTTGATTGCAATTGGAACAAATCCAATTGAAGGTCTTGTGCCGGTTGTTTCAGAGCGACTAAAATTTGCAGGGGTTTACAATCCAAATCATATTTTTGGTATTACAACGTTAAATGTTATTCGCGCAAACACATTTGCTGCAAACATTTTAGGGCTAGAACCAGAATGCGTATTGGTACCGGTTGTGGGTGGAAATGTTGATGGCACCATAGTTCCCATTTTAAGTCAAGCTTTACCTTGCAGCGAGTTCACAGATGTATAGCGCTTTTACTTTCTATCTCTGCTTATGAATATATATTTTTGCTTGTTTAGATTGAAATTGAAAATATTACGAAAAGTTTGCAAACTGCACATTATGTGATTGAGAAGCTTCGTAACACTCAGGGCCCAACACTAGCTAATGCATTTGCAATTGCCAGATTTGTTGTATCCTTAATTAAAGGACTCAAAGGTCAGCCCAATATATTGGAGTACTCCTTTATTCGCACAAACTGCATTGGAGATTTAAAATATTTTGGGGTGCCAATTTACCTTGGAAAAGGTTTCTACTTTTTGCAATAACATTAAGCTCCCATTTTTTTTATCTATTTTATATCTATCTAATAATTGTTAATTTCAGATGGTATTGCAAAAGATATGGCGCTTCCGACTTTATCCAATTACGAACAATGTCTGATTGATGAAGCGAAGCCAATAATAGATTATTGGATTAAGAAAGGCAATGAATTTGTAGGTAAAATTGATATGACTTTGTGCGATCCATGCGTGCGAAACCAAAAAATAACATGTAAATCAGATTATGTCCCTTGCAAAAACAAATTTAAGGCTTAAAAATAAATAAAAGTTTAAGAGCGCAGACAAAATGTTACTTTTGTACTTTTGTTCCTTCTCTACAGATTATAAGATAAGTACATTGCATAGATTTGGACGTGCCGTCATTACGAATCCTCCCCACCTGGCTCAAGTAGTTTTGGCGCACAAGGCTATAGATATAGGGTGCATTCGCGTTGGACGCTTACGCGCTGTGAGCGTGCTTACATGTCATTTTCATCGTTCGACTTGGCGCTGTGAGTGTCACATAAGTACGCTCATGGCTGAGTTCGTAGCACAGACTTCGCGCTCATTTATGCTCACGCCACAGAGGTAGGGCAGCGAAAGCGTGAGCGCCAATTTTTATTATCTGTCAAAACGAATGCAACTTGAGCATAAGCTAACCAAAAAAAGGTTCTTTTTTGAAAGATAAATTCAAATGAGTATTACAATACTCCCATTCCATGTCATTATCACTATCTTCAATCATATCAAACTCATCACTATCATCAGACTCATCATCGATAATTTCTAATAAATTATTTATTAATTGATAAACAGTTGCCATGTTGATGATTATTGAAGCTCACAATGTCCAAAACGAACGAAATTTATTTATTGATTCTAAGCGCCTATAGGCCATCTCGAACACTAAAAATTTGTGCTTATAAGCGTGAGCGCTCACAGCGCGTAAGCGTCCAACGCGAATGCACCCAAAGTGTACTCTGCGCGCGGCTTCAGTCAAATCGGGTGATCGTAGTCGTGCACATGCGTTCGTCGCGAGCCACCACGTTTTTAGTTTCTAGTCAATTTGATTCGGTCAATCGCTCAACTGCAAGTTTCGTTTGCTGTTTTTTGAATTTACACACCTATCGAAATACCTAGAGTGTCACTTAAAATGTAAGTACCGTAGTGTTCTTGGGTTATTGTCAATTTTATTGGTCTCGTGCAAGAAACTTAATGTTCCATCTTGATCCTGCATCGACGCATGTGGTTGCTGATAAATACGAGACAATGCAGGGCCGATGGGATGAGGGGGGGGGGGGCAATTAGCAATATAGCAATAAAAGAAAAATTACACTTTTAGTCAAGTTTTTGGTCCTATTATCCCACGAAATTAAATTATTTTAAATTCTTATCTAATACAGAATTTTCCAATTTTTCATAACTTTCAATCCGTTGGTCGCTATCGCTTTTAGTTTAAAAGATATGCCCTATTATCGTTTATTGACTCGAAAATGTCAAGAACGTTGATTTTCCCTTGCTTATTTAGTTATATTGCAATTAATCGCAATTGTATGGTTGAGTCTCATTTTGGTTACCGTAGCAGGGTGTCGATTGAAGTGCCTCGTGTTCTGGGCACCGTACGAGGGTGCCGGTAAAAGTGACTCGTGTTCAGGGCACCGTACAAGTGCAGCGGTAGAAGTGACTCGTGTTCAGGGCACCGTACGTAGATGATTGTATAGCTGACTCCCATTTGCCCATTTTTTCTTATGAATTAAAATTTCATTTCTTATATAAGCATTTTAATTAGTTTGGGTGACTTTTCGTGAATATTTCTTTTAGTTTACGAGATATTCGCACTTGAAATAAATCGTCAACAATTGAAAACTGACAATTTTTAGCAGTTTCAGTTGCGTTTTTAGACATTTTACCCCATTAAATTAAATTATTTTAAATTTGCATTTGATAGAGAATTTTCCAATCTTCTATAATCTATAATCTTCTGGTTGCTATCTCTTTTAGTTTAGAAGATATTCACGTCGAAAATCATGGAAATAAATTATCCCATTTTTCTTATGAATTAAAATTTCATCTCATAGATTTCCAATTTACCTGTTTTATTTCATAAAATTTAACCCGATTAAAGCCTGATAATATTGATAATATTATTTAGCAATGTCTTTGAAGTGCCGTGTTGATAGTCCTGACGATGCCTTCACCGGCCAAACAATTGTAGATTCTTCAATTAAACCAGTACAAATAGACTAAAAACGCTCTCAGTGAAAATACATTTATAAAGACTATTATGACTATCGTAATTACTATAAAGCTACATACAGTTGATTTGTGTTTTGTCATCATCATCGTCATCATGTCGTTTTAAAGACTTAACAGTCTGTGATTTGTGTTTGTTATTTGATAGATTAAATTTGAACATCATGCGTCATCTAGATTTGACTTATTGTATTATTGTGTGTTAAATTTGCTAGTCATTTAGACAGGGTGATGCATGCGCACTTTCGTGTACGTGTCTCACACGTACGCTGCTATTTAAGTGCGTGACCACTCTCTGCCTCATAGACAATTTCGCACTGACACACATGCGCGCCACACTGTTTGAAACACTTTGTTGTTTTGTGCGGTACTATAAAGTATTCTCAGATGGCGTAACGATGTAGGTTTGCCTCGAAATATTCCAGCGTGAGAATTTTGTTTTGTTCAATCGGTGCGATAACGACGAGCGCACATTCCACACTTTCGACTTGTGTTATTCTTTGATATAAGTTCGGTAATTCGTGTTATATTTCCTGATCGCCGGTGATAATTAGTGTTAATAAACGTATTGGGTCTTTTATCAGCTATTTATCGCGGGTATAATCTTGGTAATTGTAAATTTTGCGTGTTTAATTTATTCACGTATTCGTGAGTGCGTTACTGTCGGTCGACGGCCGATGATAATATCAACGCTATGAACGCTAATTGACTTGGGAAAAACATATTTCTCATCAACAGAGGAGCATGGATCAATGTGCTACCAGGTAAATATTGTTATTCCTATGATTATTATGCGAATAAAAAGAATTTTAATTCAAAGTTTGAGTTCCGACGGAACGCAGATTAAGTTCAACATTGCACGAAATGCTGTAGCTAATATTTTGTTTCTCATTTATTTCAGTATTCGCAAACTTGCTGTCGATATTCCGTCTGCCATAACAGGCAAGTAAAATAATTTCATTATTTATAGAAACTGTTTGCCGTGTACTTTAATTTCAGTTTAGTTCTACGTTTAATTGTATTGCAATGTTGTTGCATTTTTTTTTTGAAGATTCAATAAGACATATTCCTTATCATCACATCTTAATAACATTTATATATCACTTAAATATTTAATGTAAAAAACGGATAATTTTTCATCATAAGAATTTAATATTAGATAAATCGAATTTGAATATATTATTGTTTTAATACGGGCAGCAAGTAGTGTAATCATGAACTGTCGCGGCCGTGTTTGCTTCGCTTTTGGAAGTACCCTAAAATGCCCTTCAAAAGTTGGCTATTTGAAATAAATATTTGAAAACATGGTGTGGAAAACGCCCTGTATTTCCTGAACCAATACATATTCTGTAAGTTTCTTTACGCCATGTTATAGTCCAAAAGATCCTTTTACGTTGCATTTTATTTCAATCCTTTAAACCTTTTGGAAGTACCCTAAAATGCCCTTCAAAAGTTGGCTATTTTATAAATATTTGAAAACATGGTGTGGAAAACGCCCTGTATTTCCTGAACCAATACATATTCTGTAAGTTTCTTTACGCCATGTTATAGTCCAAAAGATCCTTTTTACGTTGCATATTATTTCAATCCTCTAAACCTTTTGGAAGTGCCCTAAAATGCCCTTCAAATATTGGCAATATTTTGAAAAGTTAAAAACATGGTGTGGAAAACGCCCGGTATTTCCTGAACTAACTGACTTTCCTGAAGTTTCTTAACGTCATATTAGAGTTCGAGAGTTTATCTACACCATTCATACCCATTCAATCCTTTGACTTGTCTAGAAGTGGCCTGAAATATGGTTCAAAAATAGGTATTTTACTCCAGTCTTCTTCTTCTTATTCTTCCAAAATAGGCACTGTTGCCTGTTCTTCTTCAGTGGGCCTGGCCGAAGTGATCACTCCACCTTTTCTTGGTCTACCGAGTGATCTTCTTCCTCTTGGAGAGTTGTCTCTAGCAACCCTAACTATTCTCGATCCTTCCATTCTTTCTATGTGTTCATTCCATTCGTTCCTTCTCATTTCGCTCCATTCAGTAATGTTTTCTATTTTGCACGTTCTTCTGATGTCCTCATTCTTGATTCTGTCTCTGATCGTTTTGCCTTCCACACACCGTAGTGTTCTCATTTCTGCTGTTGTAAGAAGTCTGGCAGTTATTGTTGTTTCCGGTCTTGTTTCCGCTGAATACGTTAAAATGGGTCTAATTACTGCTTTATAAATAGATACCTTAGCTTCTTTTCTTAGGTGTTTATTATTCCATATGGTGTTTTTCAGGCATCCCGCAATTTTAGTTCCCTTCTCAACTTGTTCCGCTACTTCTTCCCTTATACCTGCGTGGCTTGAAATGTTGATTCCCAGGTACTTGAACTCGCTGATTTGTTCTATTATTTTTCCTTCTACTTCCAGTTTGCATCTGATTGGTGTAGCTGATAATACCATACATTTTGTTTTTTCAGGCGCTATTTCCATGTTGTACAATTTGCCTGCTTTGTTGAACTGGTGCAAAATTTTCTGGAGGTTGTCTTCAGAGTTCGTTATGAGTACAGCGTCATCCGCATAGCATACCATATTTACTTTTTTGTTTCCCATTATATATCCTTGACACTTCCTGGTTTTATTTATTATTTCTTCCATCACCAAGTTGAACAACAACGGGCTCAATGAGTCTCCTTGTCTTATGCCGGTTCCGATGTTTATTGGCTCAGTTGTTTCATTATTGACTCTTATTTTTACTTGGTTCTTGGTGTAGATGTTTTCTATTGTTTCCGTAATGTCTTGTGGAATTTGTCGATTTTGTAGTATAATTGTGATGTCATGTAGCTTTATGCGGTCAAAGGCTTTTTTTTTAGGTCCACAAAACAAATAAATGCTGGTCGGTTCCATTCTATTGCCTTCTCTTTTATTTGTCTAAGGATGAATATGGCGTCGTTGCACGATCTTCCTGTTCGAAATCCTTGTTGTTCGTCCCCGAATGTAGTTCGTTCTAGTATTTTGTTGGATATTATTCGAGTTGTTATTTTTAGTGTTGTACTGAGTAAGGTGATTCCCCTGTAATTTGATGGTATTTGCCTATCTCCTTTTTTGAATAGCATAATTAGGGTACTTGTCCTCCATTCATTGGGTATTCTGCGTTCTTTTAATACTTTGTTGATCATCTTGGTAATTTCTGTTATTAATTTTTGACCTCCATACTTCAATAATTCGTTGGCTATTCCATCCGGGCCGGCTGCTTTTCTGTTTTTCAGTTTTGCTAGTACTTCTGCGATCTCATTTTTGTTCACACTAGTAGCTTCTTCTTGTATTCTAATCCTTGTGTTGTTAATCGCGTTTTCGTCTATGCTTGCATTGTGTAGTTCTTCAATATACTTGATCCAGGTTTCTTTCTCTATATGCTTACTCTCTAGCAGCTCTTTGAGTTCTTGTCTTTGTCGTCTAATTGTTTTCCATATGATTTTTTGGGCTCCATAAAAATCATGTTCTAGATTTTTCGAGAATATCCTAAAATGCTCGTTTTTTGTTGTTCTGACTAGTTCGTGTGTTTCGATGCGTTTCCTCTTGTATTTGCGGTATGATTGCATTGTCCTTTCCGTTCTATATTGCTGGTATGCAAGTCTTTTTTCTTTACATTTTTGTTTAATTTCGTCGGTAAACCAGGGCGTTCTCTTTCCAAAGGGGTTGTATGGTTTTACTTCCTTGCTTCCCAATGCTTCCTCTGCAGCTTGTGTGACATTGGTCTTTAGTTTATCCCATGCTTTGTCTACATCATCCTCATCTGTTATGCTGTTGTTCAATATTTTTTGTTCTAGTCTATTTAGGTAAAGGTTTCTTGTTGTTTCATCTGACAGTCCTTCCACTTTTATTTTTTCCTGTAGCTTAGTTTCTTTATTTGATTTCGTTTTTTTGATGGGATTAATTCTAATTTTCGCCATAACTAAATTGTGGTCGCTTCCAATATCTGCTGATGTTAAACTTCTTATGTCTAATATATCTGTTGGTGGTATTTCCCCTGTTCGTGATGATATAGTCTATTGTTGACCTATATCCGCGTTCATTGTTGAAAGTATACTTATGTTGCTGCTTGTGGTTGTAAAATGTGTTATTTATTCTTAGCTCATTGATTGTGCATAAAGTTGTCAAAAGTTCCCCATTTTCATTTTCTACTTCCTCATTGAACCGTTGTTTAATGCCCGGTATTACTCTATTTCCAACTCTTGCATTTAGGTCTCCTAGGATTATAATAGCTTCGTTGTTGTTGATTTTGTCTAGCTCCTCTTGTAGTTTATCGTAGAAATCTTCCCTTATGGTTTGGCTTCTACAGTTCTCAGGAGCATACACACTGACTATATTTAATTTTGTTTTGTTGATTTCTATTCTAATTCTTACAATTCGTTCTGAAACATACGATATTCCTTTAATGCTGTCTACATACTTTTTGTGAATCATTATTCCAACACCTTCCTTTGCTCTCATGTTTTCCTTAACTCCACTGTATATTAATAGATATTCCCCAATAATCATCTGTCCTTTGCCTTTTCTTTTGGTTTCCTGAATCGCGCACATATCAATTTTATAGTCTTTAATTTCGTTTTCCAGTTCTTGTTGTCGGTTACTGAGTGCCCTGATATTCCACGTTGCCAATCTTAGGTTATGTTGCTTTGTTATTCTTTGTTTCCGTTTTCTTGCCTTGTTCGTTATCGTTAGATCTGTCCCATTCCGAGGCTCTCCACTGGTACTTTGAGCACTTTAATCCTTTTTACCCAGGGCAGGTCGCTGGCCTCACCCTTGAACCTTCCTTCTTTACACGGGCTTAGGACCGTCAACATTTCCTCTGGACTACTCGATCCGTCCAGACTCCATGCAGGCGAAGTTCGTTTTATTGGGTGACTGTTCAGAAACTGTGTCACGAGCGAGGTCGATCGCAGGTATACCCCCCTCTCGTTATAACGAGAGAGAGACGGACCGATCTCCCGTCTCATCTCGAGCGCTGCCAGTCATTCCGACCCCCCTCTCGTTATAACCAGAGAGAGACGGACCGATCTCCCGTCTCATCTCGAGCGCTGCCAGTCATTCCGTGCCAGTCATAGCGTTCGAGTGAGTTGACCGATCTTCCGTCTCTCTCACTCTAGCGGCATACAAACGAATGGAGATTTTCTCGTGCGGTTAAGTTTTCGTTGAATGTTTTATCGGCCGATAAAAAGTTTGTAGTGTGCGGGGAGCCTAACAGTAAAACAAAATGTGAAGTGCAAGTGAAGTGTTACAACAATTGCAACAAACAAAACTTATATCACCAATAAGACGTTATCACGTAAACATCTCGATCGTAAACCTACTTTACAAACAACCATTTTTTTACATTTTCTTCACCATAATTTGTGTTTCTTAATTTTTCTTCGAGTTATTAAGTAATGCTTCCTACATTACGTGATCTGTACATACGCAGAGGTCATCAATTAATATCCTGGCAACTTATTGGATATGCCAAAGACACATAAACTTATGTTGCATCAAGGTATGTTTCGCATTTCTTCAGCCATGTGAAAATCAAATTCATTATTGACTTTGCTTATTTTTACTTCAACCGCGTGTTAAAAGCCACACGTAGTACACAAATAATTTTTGTCACCGTTGTAGAACCCACCATTGATTTGCATTACGTTCTCGTATACTACGTAAAGAGAAATCTTTTGCTTTTTTTATGACGAAATCTTTTTTCAACAAATGTAGTTTTTGAAATAATTGGAACTATCAAATTTCAAGTTTAAGTTCGATATTAAAATTTCCATGCATAGTACGAGTACAATTTTTCTCATGTTCTGCATTACCACACTGAAAGTATCAGTGTTTACAAACAAACAAGTTTTCTTATCTCGTGCAATTTGTGTGCGGTCGCCACGCGGTGGGCTCGCGTACCACTCATTTTTTCAATTAATTAATTGTCCTTAATTTATCTTCGCGTTGTCACGTAATATTAATGCTTTTTCGATTGTGCGCGCGTGATGTGCGGCTTCGTTAAACCCGGATTGCATATACGCAGGGGTAAAGCGTGAGTGATGTTCCGTCGGATACTCTTTTGCATTATACGCGCATTTCATCGTTCCTACAATGTGCATAATTAAGGTCCCTACAATTTATTGGATATGCCAAAAGCATAAAATTTATTTTGCATCAAGGTATGTTCTCGCATTGCGTGATAATTTATTTCCACGATTTTCGACAGTGAATTTATTCTAAACTAAAAGAGATAGCAACTAGAAAATTGTAGATTATGGAAGATGGGAAAATTCTCGATCAGATGGAAATTTAAAATAATTTAATTTAATTTAATGGGTAAAAGGTTTAAAACCGCGGCTGAAACTGCTAAAATTGCAATTTTTGATTGTTTGACGATTTATTTCAATTGCGAATACCTCGTAAACTAAAAGAAAAGAGGAACGAATAGCAGAGTCTTAATCTACGGACAATTTTCTATATAATAATACATGTTTTGTTGCAGTATTGTAAAGTATTCTCAGGTGGCCAAGAATACACGCATATGAGTTAATGTAAACATGTTTTTTTATTGCTTTCAGCGTGTGCATCTCAACAGCGATAGTGACCTCGTGCAGTTACTGTCGGTTGTTTGCAACTCAAGGCATACGCAGTTCCATTTCGGTTGTCGAGTGAATCCCGGGTTTTCATTACTACTAGTTTTCGTTCTTCAAATCATAATTAGATAAATTGCGAAATGTTCAATTAACAATTTAATTGACGGCATTTACTGAAATCGGATGTGAACATGGCTTTTCTGGTGAGATAGCATGTGTTGAATGATCATCAATCACGAAGTTATCGGTGGTTCACCTATGCGCATGAGATGTTCCGTCGGCCGTCGGTGATGGCTTTTCGCTTGTGGAATTACATTGCACTCGTGTTGACCTATGTGTAAATAACGTGTCCACACATACTTAATAATAATTTGGATTTATGTGTAATTAGTATAAATAAACAACGTTGATGCCTGTTAAAGAAGTTTAAGAACACTTGTGAAAAGCAGTCTACCGCTTCTGTCGCAGAAATGCTAAAGAAGCGCAAGTTGATTACAAGGCAAGTTTTACTTTCAGGATATTTAAGAGGTGTCTATGATTTTCGATTAAAAAAAATTATGTAGTTTTTATTTAATGTTGCTAATAAAACATAATATATATTATATATAATATATTATAAACTTCTTCATATTTCTTTCTGGTTTCCCCTTTGCCGTTTACAGGATTGATGTCTTAAATCTTAAGTGCGTCGAGCGTGTACAATATATAGCTGTTGTTTGTGATGTGTCGTTGTTTTAAAAAGTTGAATAAAGTAGAATCATAAATAGAAGAATCAAATAACATTCTTTTAATACTTTGTTGATCATCTTGGTAATTTCTGTTATTAATTTTTGACCTCCATACTTCAATAATTCGTTGGCTATTCCATCCGGGCCGGCTGCTTTTCTGTTTTTCAGTTTTGCTAGTACTTCTGCGATCTCATTTTTGTTCACACTAGTAGCTTCTTCTTGTATTCTAATCCTTGTGTTGTTAATCGCGTTTTCGTCTATGCTTGCATTGTGTAGTTCTTCAATATACTTGATCCAGGTTTCTTTCTCTATATGCTTACTCTCTAGCAGCTCTTTGAGTTCTTGTCTTTGTCGTCTAATTGTTTTCCATATGATTTTTTGGGCTCCATAAAAATCATGTTCTAGATTTTTCGAGAATATCCTAAAATGCTCGTTTTTTGTTGTTCTGACTAGTTCGTGTGTTTCGATGCGTTTCCTCTTGTATTTGCGGTATGATTGCATTGTCCTTTCCGTTCTATATTGCTGGTATGCAAGTCTTTTTCTTTACATTTTGTTTAATTTCGTCGGTAAACCAGGGCGTTCTCTTTCCAAAGGGGTTGTATGGTTTTACTTCCTGCTTCCCAATGCTTCCTCTGCAGCTTGTGTGACATTGGTCTTTAGTTTATCCCATGCTTTGTCTACATCATCCTCATCTGTTATGCTGTTGTTCAATATTTTTGTTCTAGTCTATTTAGGTAAAGGTTTCTTGTTGTTTCATCTGACAGTCCTTCCACTTTTATTTTTCCTGTAGCTTAGTTTCTTTATTTGATTTCGTTTTTGATGGGATTAATTCTAATTTTCGCCATAACTAAATTGTGGTCGCTTCCAATATCTGCTGATGTTAAACTTCTTATGTCTAATATATCTGTTGGTGGTATTTCCTGTTCGTGATGATATAGTCTATTGTTGACCTACTATTTTGTTAAAATGTTTTTCGGTCGAAAGACAGGGTCGAATTTTTTGGCGAGTATATCTAGAACAAAAAGGTTTACGAAAAACGAATGCATTTTCCTCTAATAGAAAGAACCCCTAATAGGTTCTAAACGGTTAATGTTATCAAAAACGTTACCAAAATAATCAATGTAGAATTAAATTATCTATCAGATATCCGATTTAATCGAAATAAATAGCTCCATGCATAGTACGAGTACAATTCTATTCATGTTCCGCACTACCACACTGAAAGTGTCAGGGTTTACAAACATGTTTTCTTATCGCTTGCAATTTTTGTACGGTCGTCACGCGGTTGGCTTGCGCACCACGTTAGTCTTATTGACGTGATAACGTCTTTAAAATCGTTTTATTGGGTGACTGTTCAGAAACTGTGTCACGAGCGAGGTCGATCGCAGGTATACCCCCCTCTCGTTATAACGAGAGAGAGACGGACCGATCTCCCGTCTCATCTCGAGCGCTGCCAGTCATTCCGTCATTCCGTGCCAGTCATAGCGTTCGAGTGAGTTGACCGATCTTCCGTCTCTCTCACTCTAGCGGCATACAAACGAATGGAGATTTTCTCGTGCGGTTAAGTTTTCGTTGAATGTTTTATCGGCCGATAAAAAGTTTGTAGTGTGCGGGGAGCCTAACAGTAAAACAAAATGTGAAGTGCAAGTGAAGTGTTACAACAATTGCAACAAACAAAACTTATATCACCAATAAGACGTTATCACGTAAACATCTCGATCGTAAACCTACTTTACAAACAACCATTTTTTTTTTATCGTCAGGCGATCTGCACGTACATTTTCTTCACCATAATTTGTGTTTCTTAATTTTTCTTCGAGTTATTAAGTAATGCTTCCTACATTACGTGATCTGTACATACGCAGAGGTCATCAATTAATATCCTGGCAACTTATTGGATATGCCAAAGACACATAAACTTATGTTGCATCAAGGTATGTTTCGCATTTCTTCAGCCATGTGAAAATCAAATTCATTATTGACTTTGCTTATTTTTACTTCAACCGCGTGTTAAAAGCCACACGTAGTACACAAATAATTTTTGTCACCGTTGTAGAACCCACCATTGATTTGCATTACGTTCTCGTATACTACGTAAAGAGAAATCTTTTGCTTTTTTATGACGAAATCTTTTTCAACAAATGTAGTTTTTGAAATAATTGGAACTATCAAATTTCAAGTTTAAGTTCGATATTAAAATTTCCATGCATAGTACGAGTACAATTTTTCTCATGTTCTGCATTACCACACTGAAAGTATCAGTGTTTACAAACAAACAAGTTTTCTTATCTCGTGCAATTTGTGTGCGGTCGCCACGCGGTGGGCTCGCGTACCACTCATTTTTCAATTAATTAATTGTCCTTAATTTATCTTCGCGTTGTCACGTAATATTAATGCTTTTTCGATTGTGCGCGCGTGATGTGCGGCTTCGTTAAACCCGGATTGCATATACGCAGGGGTAAAGCGTGAGTGATGTTCCGTCGGATACTCTTTTGCATTATACGCGCATTTCATCGTTCCTACAATGTGCATAATTAAGGTCCCTACAATTTATTGGATATGCCAAAAGCATAAAATTTATTTTGCATCAAGGTATGTTCTCGCATTGCGTGATAATTTATTTCCACGATTTTCGACAGTGAATTTATTCTAAACTAAAAGAGATAGCAACTAGAAAATTGTAGATTATGGAAGATGGGAAAATTCTCTATCAGATGGAAATTTAAAATAATTTAATTTAATTTAATGGGGTAAAAGGTCTAAAACCGCGACTGAAACTGCTAAAAATTGCAATTTTTCATTTTTTGACGATTTATTTCAATTGCGAATACCTCGTAAACTAAAAGAGAAAGAGGAACGAATAGCAGAGTCTTAATCTACGGACAATTTTCTATATAATAATACATGTTTTGTTGCAGTATTGTAAAGTATTCTCAGGTGGCCAAGAATACACGCATATGAGTTAATGTAAACATGTTTTTTTATTGCTTTCAGCGTGTGCATCTCAACAGCGATAGTGACCTCGTGCAGTTACTGTCGGTTGTTTGCAACTCAAGGCATACGCAGTTCCATTTCGGTTGTCGAGTGAATCCCGGGTTTTCATTACTACTAGTTTTCGTTCTTCAAATCATAATTAGATAAATTGCGAAATGTTCAATTAACAATTTAATTGACGGCATTTACTGAAATCGGATGTGAACATGGCTTTTCTGGTGAGATAGCATGTGTTGAATGATCATCAATCACGAAGTTATCGGTGGTTCACCTATGCGCATGAGATGTTCCGTCGGCCGTCGGTGATGGCTTTTCGCTTGTGGAATTACATTGCACTCGTGTTGACCTATGTGTAAATAACGTGTCCACACATACTTAATAATAATTTGGATTTATGTGTAATTAGTATAAATAAACAACGTTGATGCCTGTTAAAGAAGTTTAAGAACACTTGTGAAAAGCAGTCTACCGCTTCTGTCGCAGAAATGCTAAAGAAGCGCAAGTTGATTACAAGGCAAGTTTTACTTTCAGGATATTTAAGAGGTGTCTATGATTTTCGATTAAAAAAAATTATGTAGTTTTTATTTAATGTTGCTAATAAAACATAATATATATTATATATAATATATTATAAACTTCTTCATATTTCTTTCTGGTTTCCCCTTTGCCGTTTACAGGATTGATGTCTTAAATCTTAAGTGCGTCGAGCGTGTACAATATATAGCTGTTGTTTGTGCTGTGTCGTTGTTTTTAAAAAGTTGAATAAAGTAGAATCATAAATAGAAGAATCAAATAACAATGATAAAAGCACTCGGTGGTCCAGTGGGTACGTGCACCTGCTAGCATGCTAGTGGGCACGGATCGAGTCTCAGTTGTAGAAGGCATTTTTCTCAAATATAAAAATTACAAGTGTAATTTGGGTTGCATATATGAATTGCAACGAAATATAAGAGAAATTGAAATACAAATGAAGCAATATGGGAAATAAGAAAGCAGCAAGTGGAGGAACAGAGAAATAGAAGAAGAGGAGAGGAGATAGAGGAAAGAGCCCCACAGGAGTGGATCAGATTTTTAAATTTTTTGGCACGTGTCGTTTTAAGACAGTCTACGGTCGATCTCCCAGAGCGCCTACGGCGCTCTGGTCGATCGCCCACTGCTTCGATGCGTCCATTGCTCCCGGCCCAACCTACAGCTACGATGTCTCTGCGCTTCATCCCCGAAATACTCAGGCATATCAACAATTTTTATGGTGGGGGATCATCCCCAGAGAGAGGGAACTCCTTATAAGGACAATCCTTATAAGGTCTTGTTCAAATATTTCTAAGTTTTAAGTCGTCTCAAGAGAGGTGACACTTAAAAATATTCTTACAAATTCTGACATGTTGCTGAAATGAAAGATCGGGTACACAAATCATAAGGATACCTTAACAATTTTTATAGTGGGGATCATCCCCTGAGAGAAGGAACTCTCTTCGAGACCTGCGCCTGAAATGATAGATAGGGGTACATACAAACGATAAGTCAAAATCGTTCTTAACATTTCTTTATTAACAAATACAATTTGATACAATACAAGTTTAGATTTTAAAAGTCAACAAAATACATGTCGCCATATTAAATCAGGACTTGCGACCTGCTTAGCTGCGCTCATATAAACAAGTACAACTTCCCACAGTTCTACCGCGATAAAGAAATTAGCAAATAGCTCAATTTCAACGTCATTGAAAATGAAAACAAATATACAGGATGTTACAAAGGGAAAATTTAAAGTGCGAAGAAAAAACTCTCAACACTACAAACACCACTCGTTTTCACTCGACGGTCAGGGAAACTAATATACAGGGTGTTCCAGAAAGAAAATTCAAAGTGCAAAAGGGAAAATCTTGAAAACGACAGCTAAAGCAAAATTTTCACGGCCACAAAGGAAAACATTTATATGTATATACACAGGGTGTTCAATAAAAAAAATCCCATGTTCAAAACAGAGAACACTCAAAACTCACAACTAATAAATAAACTCACACAAATAAATTTCTACGTGCTGTTAGGAAAACTAATATACAGGGTGTTACAAAAAAATTAGAAACTACAAATTAACAACAATATTTTAATATAAAATCAGAGATATTACCCGAAAAACATTGGAAAATTGAGCAAAAAGGTGCTACAAAAATAAAACACTTACACTTTAATATATTGTGAATATATATTTAATAATTGATGGTAGCATCAACTGTAAAACAGTATCCGACGGGTAAATCAATAGACGGCAAGCAACGGCGCGTAGCAACACAGTGGTTAAAGACGATAAAAATAACTATTTCTTTGTAAATATTAAGATATATTAAGACTGCGAAAACGAAAAACTATTCACCGTTCAAGATTTTATTTCAACAAGAAATTATTAAATTAATGATGCTATTCGATTAAAAAATTTTACGTGATCATCGAAAACATGACCGAACCGACGGCCGACGGCATAGTAAGCGTGGTCGACCACATGATTATTGTGATTTTAATAATCCTAAGATACTTTTTTAACACAGTATTTGTAATAATTAAATCAAGCATGTTATTTTCAATAACGGGCCAATGAATTCTAATAATAACGTGTTTGTAATCTGCAAAATTAATATCCCTCAAATGGAATAATCAATTTAATTTAAACCGCCTTAACTTACAGCGAAAAAAAGTGATTACACACCTACCAGTGCATTGATGAAGAGATGTTAGATCCAGGAATATATCTTATCAACTGAAAACTCGCGCAGAGATTAACAGACACGTATTTCTTACTTAAGAACACTTTAACCGCCACAACTCATAAGAAAAACATATCTTGCTGATAACAAAAAGAACAGATGACAATTAATTGAATAATAGAAGTCTGAAAACGCGTGGCGCTTAGAGAGACAAGTTCGCGTACCACGCGGTGAGACGACTGCCGTGTGCGCTGCTCGTAGCCAGAAACAAGGCAGGTACGTGCGATAATACGCGTCAGTCAAACAAAAAAAGTTGTTTATACACAAACGTACTTGAGAAGAGAAACGTAGTTGAGAAGCCGAAACTAAAAATTCACAATATTGCAATAACACAAATGCACGAAATCTACTTTTACTCTCTATAAAATAGGCTAGCTAAAATGGCAATTTAAGAGATGAAATCTTAATTCCTAAGAAAAAATGGGCAAGAGTGCTTAATCATTTATTTCGACGATTATGAAAATTTAGAAAATTATCTATCAGGTAACAATATAAAATAATTAAAGTTCCTGGGATAAACGGTCCTAAAACAATTATATTTTATGAATACGAGTCACTTCTACTGCGCCCTACGGTGCCCTGAATCGAGTCATTTCTACCGCTACTTTGGTACGGTGCCCTGAACACGAGTCACTTCTACCGTCACCCCCTACGGTGCTCTGAATCCGAGTCAATTTTATCGCCACTCTCGTACGGTGCTCTAAACACGAGTCACTTCTACCGTCACCCCTACTGTGCAAAATTCCCTATATAATATCTCGTAAACTAAATGCGAGGAACGAATTGAAAATTCTTAATTTACGTCAAATTCTCTATAAGTTACATAGAAAATCGAAATGATGAAAAAAACAATTTCTACGAAAAAGTGGGCAAAGGTATGCTGCATGTTTGGGTAGTTTTACAAAATTTAAATAATAAATTACCTGTAGGTATTCTCGCCTTGTTCACGAAAATGACACGACTTGAGAAGACAATGATGATTATAACAATATCCTACATAAATCACGATTCAGAAACATTCCACTCTCGCATCATTAAATGAAAGAAACCGAATGATCCATCAAATATATCGCAATATGCCAAACTACGAGCCGCAGGTGCTCCGAACTTATCGACGGACTACTTCGAACACGCGATTCTTAAGACGGTTTTAAAACAAAACAAGCATATAAACTTGATATGTACAAAGCGCGCACATATTTCCTAGTAATAACAAATTACAAAGAGAAAATATTATACAGGATGCCATCGAAAGAAAAATTATGTTTTGAAAAGAAAAACACCTCGACCTTCTTCCGTTTATAGTTGAATGTTAAGAGATAATTATACTGGGCGATACAAAAAGAAAATTCAAAGTTCACGTGGCCAAACACCTGTAACATCAAATTTGGTCAATTTTTGATTGGAAATCACGGAAAATTAAAACACAGGGTGTTACAAAAAGGTAATTTCAATATGTAAAAAGAAAATGCTAACGTGTTCATCCACCGAAAATAATTATAAATACGATTTCGACTCTGTTTTTCGACCAGAAAATGAAATTTATTGCACAAAAATAGCTATTTTTGAAGGGCATTTTAGGGCACTCCCGGTGGGGTTAGGAGGTTGAAAAAATGTTAATCATGTAGATAAAATCTCAAACTATAAAATGACATAATTATATACTATATGATAATATAGTATTTATGTTTCACACTTTCTTACGTTTTCGCAGGTAAAATATTCCACACGGGGCACGAAAGATCTTGATTTAAATTAAATATTAAATGAATACACAAAACAAAACCACTAAGAATTTTTAGCCGACGGAAGATATCGGACAGCCGACGACAAACACGTGCGTATCCTGTAAAACCATGCTAACTTATATAGTTAACTCATTAACTATATGCGCCACTAGTCTGTTAATTCTAAATTTTATTTTTGCTGGCCGATTCTAATTCAACTACCGACTTAAAATCACAAGAAACGCGATAAGTCGTCACGAAGGACCGCCGTGCAAGTAAACGCGTGCACACCACGCCACAGCCGACGATCGACTAAGTAAGAAATAGCACAAACAATGCTGAGCGCGCGGGACGCGCAGCAACACGAATACATTTTTATGTTGGTTGAACACAAACACCGACAAGAATCAAAGGTGAGAACTACGTACAATGCATGTTGTGGATACAGTCTAATGCAATGGAAAGATTTCATATTACGTACTTACTTATTTGTATGAACAATCTATCCAAAAATCCAAAAGTGAATGCAGGCTATCTGAAAAGGCAGTTTCGGAGATGCTCCTCTTAACACTTTTAGCGACTATTTTTGAACTTTTACGTCACGTAGTTAATATAATTTATTATCTTGTTCTAGAATTATTCCAGAATTTTCGGAAATTTTATAATCTCCAATCACGTTACGAGGGAGTCGGTAAAAGTGACTCTTATTCAGGGCACCGTACGAGGCTAGCGGTAAAAGTGATTCCTATTCAGGGCATCGTACGAAACTAGCGGTAAAAGTGACTCCCATTCGGAGCACCGTACGAGGGTGTCGGTGAAAGTGACTCGTGTTCCGGGCATTAACCGTTTACACACTATTTAGAAATTTTAGTGAAACCTGCATTTGCCTTGAACTTTTTATAACATTTTTGTCGATTTTCAAGAAATATGCCATCTTGAGGAGATTTCTTAAGGGATCAAGAATATGAAATCCTTTGTTTCGTACCCTTTTTTGTTCTTAAGATAATCGCAAAAAAATTAGACCCTGTTCTTCGACCGAAAAAAATTTTAACAAAAAAGTTGACCCTGTTCTTCGACCGGAAAAAAATGTAACAAAAAAGTTCGACTCGGTTTTTCGACCAAAAAAAATTATCACTAAAATTTCGACCCTGTTCTTCGACTGAAATATTTTTATGAAAAATAGATTGACCCGCCTTTTCAACCGAAAAAAAAATGTAACAAAAAAAAATTCGACTCTGTTTTTCGACCAAACAAAAAATTTAAAAAAAAAAGGTTTGGTCAATCTTTCATTTTAATTTTACTTTATTTTTCGACCTAAAAAAATTAAAAAAAAGTACGGCTTTATTTTACGATCGAAAAAATGTAATAAAAAAAGTTCGACCCTGTTCTTCGAGCGCAAAAAAATTTTACATATAAAGTTCGACCCGTTTTTCGACCGAAAATAAATTATTAAAAAAAGTTCGAACAGGGTTCTTTGACTGAAAAAAATTTAAAATAAAAAGTTCGATCCTGTTCGAAAGAAAAAATTTTAAGATAAAAAGTTCTACCCTGTTCTTAGACCAAAAAAAAAAATTTAACATAAAAAGTTTGACCCTGTTATTCCACCAAAAAATTAAATTTATTGGACCAAAAAAAGCTATATTTGAAGGGTGTTTTAAGACACTTCCAAAGGGTTTATAGAGTAAAAAAAGGATGCATAGTGTAGAAGGTCTCTCGAACTCGGACATGACGATGAGAAACTACAAGAAAATCTAATAGTCCACAAAATACAGGGCGTTTTCCACATCATGTTTTCAAATTTTTATAAAATTGCCAACTTTTGATGGGCATTTTAGGGCACTTCCGGAATGACTGAGAGGTTGGAGGGTATGTTTCTGGTAGAGAAACTCTCTAGCTCTATTCTGGCGTGGAGAAACTCTAAGAAAGTCAATTAGTTCAGGGTGTTTTCGACACCATGTTTTCAAAGTTTTCGGAAAATACCAATATTTAAAGGGCATTTTAAGGCACTTTTAAAAAAGCTGGGGGGTTATACAGGTATGCATCGTGTAAAGGGTCCCTCGAACTCTAATATTAAGGTGAGAAATTTCAAGAAAGTCAATTAGTTCACGAGATACCGGGTGTTTACCATAGTATGTTTTCAAATTTTTTTAGATGTACCAATTATCGAAGGGAATTTTAAGGCCTTTTAAAAGTGCTAAAAAAGATAGGGTTGAAAAGAAGATAGGAAAATACCTAACTTAAATAAATATACAAATAAAACACCATTATAAAATTTTATTGTAAAATTAAGATAATTAAGATATTGCGTCGCGTTCTTGAGATACACCTCGAACAAGGCAAAGTGCCGGCCGACGGCATCGCACATGCATACGCGACGGACATTGAGATTACATTTCTCAAACAGTATACGAGCAATATTTAATTGAAAATGTGATTTCAGAATTAAAAATACAAAAGAATTATGCCAGCTGAGAAAAATACGCGCAATTAAAGGGACGATCAGCACGGTGAAATCGACATTCAGTAGAGAGACTGAAAACGCATCCGACGGCATGCAACAATTTTGAATTACGGCGGTACTCTCGTATCATACGATTAAAGATAGAAATATATGAATATTTGTAAACTTACCAGTGTGTTGAATTATTAAATTAAGTACTGAAACAGTAAAACCACATGTGTTCGAATTCTCAGTATGCTGCGCACTTGTTAAGTCGGTCATTGCTCGAAAATATACACTTCTGCCGAGGGCAAGCGTAGGTCACGCATACTCGAATTTGCAATTGTATACAAATATCTAACTTTAATGCTTATCAAAATAATTCATTGGCCGACGGAACACTTAAGCACCAAAAAGACACGACTTTTATAACCGCTTCACGGACAAATTATCATTCACAAAATACTAAACACGTCAATAAGGAAATAAAGGAAAGAAAAAGCATGCAGCTGGTTCAACACGAGAACAGAACGTGTTTATACACAAACGCCGATATTAAATGGCATCGATATCTCGATCGAAAACAGCGCGATTTACGGAAATAACACTTCGTCATTGCAACTCGCGAGAAACACCGCACAGGTACGCGAACTGGAGTCGACTGTATACCCGCAAAAACGAAAGATAAGACGCGACTGCCTGAATGCAATGTAAACAATCAAGCTGATCAAAACACAATGTGACGTATAAATCGCGTGATCTTACCGGGCCCACAATTCGCCAGTCAAGACGTTGTGCACTCACTACTACCAACAAACAATAGGCTGCAACAAATGAATTCAGAATTAACTATAAATTTGCGCATTTTAGCGACATCTTGCCTGAAATTGAAGAATTATACTTAAGTAAACATGAGGCCACATCGCGTGAACTCACACGGACGTAATCTCCTTCATTTGCTGACACAAACACACTATGCAAAGGAAGGAAACCTGCAATTCTTCTACCGTAGCATAAAAAATCGCCAGAAAAGGGACCACACCACCACCGTTACAAATTAAAGAATTTATAGAAACCATTGCCAAAACACATAAAATCCTATTCTATATAAGGTATTATGAGAAAGCAAATATAAATGCATATTATTATATTAATTAGCGTACACATCAATATATAACTTCAATAAGTGTCATAACTTGTGATACATTGTACATAATTTAACCCCAGAATGTATATCAACAAACTCATTTTAAAAATGTATTTGAAAAGAAGTGGTGTTATTTCCCAATGTGAAATCAAAAAGTCTGCTTGTATTGTACCATTGACATATATGTTAATTACTAAAAGTAATGCAAAATTACAACCTCTATACTTTGCATTAAATAAATGCCCTTTTCCTGAACCTTTAGTAGAGGGCACATAAAATCTGAGATAGATTAGTGTTGAATAATCACTGAACAAAATTCTTCCAAACTTAAAAATTAACTGTTTTCTTTTGATCTAAACTTTCTAAACACTACCTAGTACCCAAAACACCTAATAATCAAATTAAATGTTTGTTCCTTCAAGTCAAGTACAAATGGTAACCATCAGTTTCTGTACCCAATATTTAGGCTTTAAAAATTATGAGAAATAATGCACATGGCAACTCCTCGAAAAAAACACTAATTCCATGCAAAGTATAGCTTGTAGTGAAAGTTATAGGTGCTTACATGTTAGCCAAACGTCCTGCCCTGACTGTCTGCAGCCCGTGGCATACATTAAGCCTAAACTATTCGCTTTGCGCCGCCCGCCGGATTGAAAAACGGCCGGCGTAGCAAAACAATATGACAGATTCAGTTGCCAACACCGCTGGCTGTCTTCCTGAGATTTCATTTACGTGTCATCAGCTTCAAATATTCCAGTGCGTTAAGTGCGCCCGCCACCTGCGCTTCCTTCGGAGTGTTGCCGGTGCCAAAGCATACGGCAATAGGCAGTGTAGAGATTTGTACTAAGCATTGATATTTTCCCGTCACGGACTTCTCTTCGATGTCCACGTAGGTGATCTCAAACATCTGCTCCTGCGCCAGTTCTTGCAGAAACTGCACGGAACTGAACTCTTTGGTATTAATTGCCACACACTGCAAAATAATTACGTTATGTACGCGCTCTCATACAAAGGTTTCAAACAGTGAAACATATACATTTACCTGTAATTCACTTATTTTTGCACCGGTTGCTTTTCTTAAGTACTTGTGAAAATGAGATATTTTTTGTGAATGATTATTATTGGGCAAAAGCGTGTTTATTTTACTATCTTTCAGTCCAGAGTATCGTGTTTGCAAGTTTGCCATTCGCGTCGTCAACTAAAAACATATTTAAAAACAAACTCAATTCATATCATAATATTGGCAGAGAAAATATTTTTACTGTCTAATTTAAACTAAAAGATAGTAAAAACATTCGCTTTTCAATAACTAATATAAAATTTAAGTGGCAAAAATGTAATTAATTAAATTGAATCAACATACTTCTTCGTCCTCATCGGCAGACTGAACAGCGGCACCTTCAACTGGGAGATCATGTAACGCCTGCCACATCTTATGCGCAGCCATACGCTTTGCTAACTTTTTCGATTTGCCTGTACCAATTTCTTTGTACTTCAGAACACTGCAGGCAATGGTGAATTGGCGCTCATGAGGCAGTCCTTCCTCGTGTTCCATGTCATAAAAAGGAGGAGGCCAACGGCGCGACATGCACATTTCTTGCAACCAACCAATAGGATTTCCCATTACTTTATCGTCATATGGTGATACAACAGTATTAGGTCTAAAAATCAGATTCAGTCAACGAATGTTACTCAACCAAATTACAAACTTACATTTCCACTGGCAATGCTGGTGTACCATTGGTATCATTAGCTTGCTCATTGGTTTGCTTGCCAACAAGTACATCTAATAAATTCTTAGCTGCTGCATGTTTTGCTTCTTTTTTCGACCGTCCAGTGCCCGTAGCAATGAATTCGTTATTGATGAAAACTCGGTAACGAAATATTGGTTCATGAATAGCACCCTCAATTTGCACTAGTTCATACTTGGGCGTTATACCCCGTCGAGATAATAGTTCTTGAAGAACAGAAACTGGAGTTTTCCCAGGAAATGAAGACATTTCCTGTAAATGTTTTGTATTATTAATAATATGAACAATTATACTTGACAATATGTACAAATGATTGCTTTACCTCACTGACTAGTTTTGCTGCTTCTCCCAAAGGCATCCTTTCACACATAGCATTTATTAATTTAGTTCTATTCTTTCCTCTTCCGCGGACGGGTTGTGTTTGATTTAGCATATGAATCCCTCCATCCATTACTTTCTTAACCCTACAGATATATTTACACTTTAGAAAATAATTTACATTTCTTTTAACCTAACTTAAAATGAGCATTAATAACGTTTATAAATTTTTAAAATAACGATTTTATTAGTATTTGCAACGATTTAAAGATTAGCCGGTTACTCAAAAAACCGGCAAAATCGATAAGTTTAGGCGCGTTGTATTCGTCAATAATTAAGCGCAATGAAAGTATATTTTCAAAATAAACCACAGCTGATTGTGAATACTATACGATTAATATTAATCATATGTTCAATTACCTGGTGTAAATATATATCTCGTTCACAAGATCTGCGGATTGTGAACCGTAACTTCTCGAAATGTATGGTGAACTGGCGGACACGATTGTTGTCGACTATTTTGTCATATGGGAAGCAGCTGCGCCTGAAACCCCAGAAAACTGTCGGCACTTACCAACTGAACAAACTGGTTTCCCCTAAAGGAAATGTTCTGATATTGATTCGTAGATGCTGCTACTATGACGACCTGTGCAATTATAAGAAAATATTTTAATGTTCCACATAAGATACCTCATGATTTTACAAATATTTTGCTCACATTACTGACAATTCTCGAAAGTTAATAAATAAATATGCGTATTTATTTCAACAATATTCTAAGATGACATTAAATTTACACAATCATGCTTTGTCTTCTTCAATTTACCGTCTCTTAATTAACACTTAATTAATTTCTATATACATAAAGTATAATCTCCTCCTCATACTGCCCCACAAACATGTTTTTTCGTTATTTTTATGCACCTATACATTTACACGTGTTTTTAATTTATTAATAATAAGTTAATGGCACAGATATTATCTAATTTTTTTTCATTACATTTTATATTTAACATATTTGCAAAATCACTTTATCAAGAATCCATACTCTTACTTCTATTATGGTCTTTACAAAATAATAAACATAGATATGACGTGCGAAAATAAGCAATAAAATCGAGCAAACATGTTAACACAAAAGAGACAGAGGAAAATTTTTATCTATGTACAAATGAACAAGTCACAGCCATTTCAAAAAAACAAGCAACTTGCCCCTTCTCTTTAACGCCTATATCATAATGTAAAATTAGTTACTGTAGAATAGTGGATGTGCCTATCAGGCTCAGACAAAAATATTAAATTAGAGTAACGCTTCCTTGTATGTAGAAGTATTTGACGTATTAATGATCATACCATAATTGTAGCAGTATATATCTGGCATTCCCTACATTAAACCAGAATAAGTTATCCATTCAACCATTCGAGTAAATTAAATCACATTGAATTTGTAAATACATAAAAATTTGCACATGCTGATATTATTCATATTTCAGTTGTACATATATAATTAAATCTGGTTAATTTAAAAGAAAATTGGTAACGCTCGTAAAAATCATTGAAAATTTTGGGACGAATTGTCAAAGCGTCGAAAATAAAACGTTGCATACAATTTAAGACCGCATTAAAATAGAATTGACAAACCAAGATTTTGAAACTTGCCTTTCCGACAATGTTGTGGCAAAACCGTGTTATATTCCATTAGATAAAGCAAATATTTTCACAATTACTTATTTAATCAAATTTTGTCTGCGATATTATTAAACAAGTCCAAATTTATTAAATTTGCCAAGATTGTTAGAGAGCTAATCAATAATCAAGTTGCTCTATTTAACATTAATAACTTTGAACTTGCACGATAATATACGTTTTTTTTTTTTTGAATGGATGATAAATACATCTTTAAAACATTAAGCACATCAAGTTATAAAGGATTCATTTTTCCTCTGTAACATCAACCAACAATAACGAACAACAAGAATTTAAAGTTAATTACATTATAAAGTGACTATCCAATATTTATCCAATTCAACAATAATTAAAATTGAAATGTTGTTAATTATTCAGGGCCCTTGATGAATTGGCAAATTATCCATTTTAGTATATCAGGCAATTTTAGTTGGAAAAATGTTCACTTTGCAAACATCCTCATCTTGTGCAAAATGTAAATGCAAGTTTCCACAGCAAACACAAATGTATTCGTTTTTTGTACCAACCCAAATGCAAATTGCAAATTGAAGTAGATCAATCATATAAACGTTACACCTTATACTATACTTTCATTCTCCGCTTGCAAACTGTTGTAGTCCATAACGGGGGCAACACCCTTTCGCAGCGACGAATTACTAGATCTCATTCCGTTTCCGTTGAAAAGACTATTCAACCAGCGCAGTTTCGTGCCAAGGTTCTTTTTCGGTTCCTCGACGTTGTTAGACTGTGGACATGTACCCGACACACAGTCTAGTGATCGCCATTTTTTCGACGCGCTGTCGTCACAGCCCTCAAAACTACCGCTGCGGCGCCGCTGAATTGTTACCTGTTGCTTCTCTTTCAGTAGTGGCATAACGGCGTCTTCATACAAACTGTCCTCGTGGCTTAATATGGCGTTACCGTTCGGACAGTTGTTATTCAGGGGTTTGTCATCAGGTATCGCAATGATCTTGATGCTCGAGTCGCCACAATCAAAGTCGGTCAACACGGGTTCGCTGCGTTTCAGAGTTGGCACAAACTTCTTACCCTTAGGTTTAATAAACGGCAACGGGTCCAAAGATTTGCACTCGCGCACTTTGGTAAGTACTGTTTGACTCTTGTGCGGATCATCAGAACTGGACGCAATGCTTGACAGCGCACGACGTGGTCGAAGTCCGTCCTTCGTCACATCGCCCGGTTCAATCAGTTGACTACCGAACGTAGAGTTGTTGAGCGTCCCTTTTGACCCGCCGTCGGGCACCTGTAGCACGTGCCGATTGCGGAACGGAATGCGCGAAGGTACCGGACTAGCATTGTGCAACGTTGACGAGCTATCCACATCTATGCTGGCACCTAGAGAAAATCTTGTGATAAATTCGCGCGTCTAGCCACAGCCAAATGGTTGCGGTGAAGGAGAGGGTGAAAGCGATGCGCACTCATGCACTGACTGTAAAGCACGGCAGGAGAAACTCAAATTTGACACACCTTGTAAACAATTCTCTCCTTTATCACAGCAATATGTATCTGCAAGTATTCCCCCAAAAAAGAAAAGAAAAGAAAATGTCACCATTAATACATATGACCGTCACCAATTAGTAAATGAAGTACCATGATATTACTAAATGATTAAATAAAATAATAATAATAGGTTCCAAACGTGTTACCTCTTGGTACGCTGGAATGCCGACGGCTGTTCAACCCTCCAAAACCACCAAGGTTGCCACAGAAGGACGCTTGCCGACTATCCGTGTTCAGTTTGGGACTTTTCCTAGGTCGACAGAAAAGCGGCGGCAATTCGCCAAGGTCCACCTCCCGTCGTTGCACTGCATTCTCGGTTGCTCCTTGCAGCCAATACGTTCTCACTTCACCCTTGCCTTTCATGACCACCAAACCGCGTTCCTCCACAACATACCCACCAAGTTTCTCTAATGCATCCCTGCACTGTGGACTGATGTGAATCTTTAATGGCTCTCCATTACTCTCCATTCGCGAGGCGGTGTTCACCGTGTCCCCGAATAGACAATAACGTGGCATGGTTAATCCAACAACGCCAGCCACAACGGGTCCTTAAATACTCAAGTTAATATCTGTAAACATTTACGATAAGCGCTGACCCATTTACCTGTGTGGATACCAATACGTAGTTTAAGAGTTTCGTTGGGTCTGTGCGATATTGAATGATTATTTACGGCCGACAAAAGGTCTAATGACATGGACGCAATTTCACCTACGTGACGCTCGCCGTTCCGCAGTGGCAAGCCGGAAACCTGAGCATTAACGAAGTGTGAGCGCGTCTTTTATTATCAATTTTAAAGCACCTTTGCAACTTACCACCATGTATGCATCACCGATTGTTTCAACTTTATAAACGTCGTATCCTTTAATGATGCGGTCAAATACTGTATAGAGATCATTTAAGAAATTAACTACCTGTAAAACCAAACGCAATTAGTTCCCGGGCAGAGCGCCAGTGTGCTAATAAATCAATGTGAACGTTTCAACAGATGAAGGTACGTACTTGCAAAGGGGTACTTTCCGCAGACATCGCCGTGAAGCCGACGATGTCACTGAAATAAATTGTGACTAAATCAAACCACTCCGGTTCAACTCCGTAACCCATTGTCAGGCGTTCAGCAACAGGTCTATAAAAAGTTTACGAGTTAATATACAATTCCGAAGTGAATGCCGCAGCTGTGCAGAGAGAAGGCAACAAGAATACGTACTTCGGTAGCATACGATGTAACAAATCTTCTGTTTTCAATTTTTCTTCGTGCAGCAATTGCGTGCGCTCAGTGACTAGATCCTCCAAGTGATCGGCGTATTTTTCCATCATGTCCATCATTTGGTCCATGATATTTCGATTCCTAGGGTAATATTTGTGATAAATTAAGTGTGACGATGTGAAGTGTAATTACGTACTTTCCGTCTTTCATTTTCTTCAGTCTAGACCGTACAACATGGAAATCTGGTCTATCTTCTGGCCGTTCCGCCCAACAATCTCGCATTACTTGAAGGACATAACCGTCTGAAGGATTTACAAGTTCCATTGTCTCTAGTAACAAATTTAAGTCGGGTCGAAATGGTTCCTGACCTTCAATTGGAATTTCTTTCACTTTCTCAATTATGTCTGAAATTCAAATAATATTTATGACAACTAAATTTCCTTAGTAATAAAATTATTACCTCGTGGTTCGTAGTCTGTTGAACCAAAAGGCCCCTTTCGACCAATAATTTCATAGAAGATAATGGCAAACGCATAAATGTCGCCTTTCTGGGTGCCTTTAATATACGCATTCGGATTTCTAAGAAATTCTGGAGCTTTCCATAACAAACCTGATAAAAAACATGTGCACGTAAATTTAAATTATTCCGTTACATTGGCAAAAAAAACTGACTTCTATAATACTGGTGTTCGCCAACGTTTTCGCTTTCGGCCCAATGTCGCATTTCGGCAAGACCAAAATCGGTCACTTGCAGCACCCATCTGCTCGTCACCACGCAATTCGAAGACTTAAGATTTCCATGATATGTTAACATGGAATTGTGGATGTACATCATGCCCTAATTAATTAGTATTTTATGTAAAAAACAATCACAATCATAAAACTATACAAATAGCGAAAGTTTTACCTTAATGAGATCGTGGACTAAAGATGCGATAAACATTTTGTCCAATTTGATGTCCTCGTTCTCGATAATATCCTATAAAATATTGTAAAGAATTCAACGCCATTTTACTAAGTAGCTAACTCACGTATAAGCTTCCTTTGGCACAATAATCAGTGACTAGTAAAATCGACATTGGTTCGACACATGCGCCAATAAACGAATTGATATTATCATGCCGCAGTTCTCGTAGTAATCGCATTTCCTTCATTACATCACGTGAGATGTCCTTCTTTCGCGTGAATGTCAACTCCTTGATGCGGACGACGAGCCCCTTGTATTGGACGGTTCGAGCAAACACCTGAGCACCTCCACGGGATTCAAACGAAGTCGCGCTGACACTATAGAGACTCATCTATAAGTACAACGCACAAAACAGTTGCATACAAGTTAGCTGCGCGTTCGATCACAGAAATAAATGTGGGCGTACTTTGCTAGGCGACGTGAGCATGTCGCGATCGAAGTAGCTGGTCAAGTCGCTTTTGTCGATCTTCCACAGCAACCCTTCGATTTCCTGTTCGATCTTCCACTTTCGGTAGATGCTCATCGTGATGACGCATGCACAGAATAGAACGATAGCTAGGGTGCCGGCCACAATTATGCTGTTCATATGTGAGTCGCTCTTCTGGCACATTTCGTTGTTGAAACCACAACTCGGCTCGTCGTTGGGTCGCGAATCTTGGGGCCATTCGATTTTTACATTCGGATAGATTTGATAATCCTGCAAATCGTGTTATAATTGTTAATTTCATTGAATCTAGCCAATGGTATTCATTTAATAAAAGTTCAGCCCTAAATACAAAACAACAATTTAAATAAAAACTCACTCACTGGAAATTCGCCTTGTTGGAATTGGCCGACCGGCCGCATCTGATACAAACACGTGAAATTGTTATTGACAGCGTATTCCTGTGGATTGGATAAACGTGTGAACGCCAAGACGGAAAAGTTTCCCTCAGAGTCGCCGTTTCTATCTAATTTCATCGTTGCTCCTGTTATACCTGCATCGGCAAAAATGTAGGAAATGTAACCACGGAGGAACTTTCAACATTTGGATAATAAAGCAGGAAAAAGAAACTCACTTTTGTACGAACCCAATCCAATTATAGTTTCGACGATTTTCGTTCCGTTGTTCGCCACCTCTTCGATGAGCTTATCCGTTAACATCGTTTCGCGCTTAAGCAGCTCATTCAATGCAGTGGCGTACAATATCACCGAATCGTACAAATAGGACGCGTATATAGAAACAAACTGCATAAAATGCAAGATAAAATACAAAGGAGCTCATTATGAAATTGCAAACATTGATCTACAAAACAAACTCACCTTTTGGATATTGTAGCTTTGAAATATTTTTGGCACTGGGAAATTAAATGGTTCTTTTGTGTTGTACTCGCGCACCCTTTCCGTAAACTTTTCATAATTATCGGTCGGGGCAGTCGGTACTATTACGAATAAACTCTTGCCGCGTTTGTCGAAATTATGCTGATGCTCGTGGCACGAATTGTATTTGGATAGAACTTCGGGTTCTGAAAAGAAATTGCTTTTGAAAACTTTGAATTTTTGCCTGTTTTGTGTGTTTATGGTAAATTGCACGTACTCCACAGATATCGGTGTGCTTCCTTGTCGGAATAAGTGTTTTTATCGACGTAGATTACCATGTATTCCCCTTTTTCAAACAGTTGTGCCGTATGCATTGTAGTCATCAGTTCTATGAGCGACATTGTCGAACCCAAAAACACGTAAACTGAGAATGAAACGTAGAAAATTAGTTTCAGTTAAAATCTACAAATATTTATAAAAAATATTACTTCGCGTTTTGTTTTTAGTATCCTGAATAAATTGAAACCAATAGCCGCTTAAACAGCACGGTAGATTGAGTTCGCAGCATTTGTACTTGTCCATCGGAGATCGCACATCGTTGATGGTCATGTTGCGCGCCTTAGCCTCCTTCACCAAAGACGATGCGACCGTTTGCCACTCCTCCTCGTAGATTATAGAAAATTTTTTCCAGTCATAGTATTTTAATAGCGATATCACAGACTTCGTTACTTGGGTATCTGGCGGTTCGGTTCTGGCAAACGTCGGCACGTCCGACGCTTTATAGTCAGAGCATTTCTAAGGAAAACAAGATTTGGCACCATAAGATTTTTCAAATTATCGCAAGTAACAAAATGACATACATAACTAATCATCGGTATATTTCTCGATTGTGCAACGATGGCTTCAACGTGACAGGTACCCTCGGGCCCAAAGAACGCCGAGACTCCGTCGCATATCATATCCGTCATTGCACGCGTTGCCGTTACAGTATCTCCCTTCGTATCGTTCCAGCGCACCACCAGAGTCACATTCGGTAGTAAGTTGGTATCATTATTAATCTAAACATATAACATAAGAAAAATGATATCTTTGCTGGAAATAAATGAGTGGAGATCCCTACCTCCTCGATGGCCATTGTAAGCGCACCCGATATGGCCAAACCCTGCCTCTCTTTGAGCCCACCTTTAGCCGCAGTAAGGTACCCGATAGTCAGCTTGGTCTTCTTGTTCAGTGGCTCAGTCGTTTTGTAATTTTCGGAAGAGATATTTTTGTGGGGACGCTGCATGACGCTGGTCGTATCAGGAGAATGCAGGATTTGGTAGGGTGTGTGAGGCCCGTCCAATTTGTTGAAGCGTTCGTCCTTGTGCGGCCAGGGTGCGTCGGAGGCGCTGGGAGCTTGTCGCGAGAGCGCCCCGTCCTCATCGACGGCGGCCGTCGTTTTCGCTGCATCGTCGTCCTCGTCATGTGGTACGGCCCGGGCGATGATGACGAGTTGTAGAAGCGCGACCAGTAGGGCCGGACCGAGGCGCATGACCGGCCCGCGCTCTTAAGAACCTGCTTTGATCACCTGAAATTAATAAAGAATCACATTACAACTCCTTAATTATACGGGGAAAATCCGTAGATAAAAATTATACTGTAATTTGTACAATATAATATGAATTGAATAGAAATCATTTAAAAACCTTTAAATAAAACCCAGCAAATAAATCAAATGTTATTTTAAAAATGTACAAATTTATACTTTGTCTGTTATAACTTATGCATATGTTTTTAGGTACACATAAATACATGAGTGTAAAATAAACATTAAAACATGTTCGCGCTAAAAATAAGTCGTTCCGGCCGTCTCGCGGCGTTCTGCCGCGTGAAACATTGAAAACATTTTGAAAACGTGAAGCGCGAAGGCCGGTTGCTCGCCGAAGGCACTGATTTCATTCACCATGAGGACCCATTTGTATCTCTCGCCATATTAAACGGTGACAACTTTTTTATTCGCCGCTCCTTAGGACACAAACACCATTTGTGCCAGGTACAAAGAGCGAAAACAATATTTATCTATTTTCGATACAAATACCTCCATAAATTTCACCAACTAAATCATATTCAGCTTCTTTATGTACCAGTTTCAATATACGCCAATAGTTGCTTCCAAAATAGTTTTTTACTAAGATACATCAGATGCTCCAATAAGTGACGCTTAATTCCGGGTCCTAAAATAGATTATCTTAGTAGAATCTAGACCAAGTAATGGTCACCTTGAATGTTTGGTCTTACAATTATTAGATAACAAACCAGAGCGAATCAGAAATGGATTGAACTCAAATATTTATTCAAATGAAAATTTACACCATTTTCCAGAGCTCCACGAGGCCATGTTTACCACGTGCAAGTGATGCACATTTGCGCAAACGCTGTCTGCTAAGCGCTTCTTCGAGATGGTTGCATAAATAGGTAGGGTACCTTTATTTAGCATATGTTTTATGATTTAATGGCGGTTTCGTTCTGTTCGCAGGCGTATCTTACGACGGTGCGTTTTTCAGGGTCAGGGTTATTCTAAAAATAGTCGGATTGGCGTTCTCGGACGCTTTGACAGTCGGTCATTTTCGAGTTGCCTTCAAACGTGAGCGCGCACTTACAAGTACATAGCTCTCGCGTGCAAGCATGCACTACCAGTTTACCAGTTGATTGTTTATTACACGGCTATGTTTATGCACTGCATGCGTCCCTTTGCACTTAAAAAGACGAGTAGATATGCTAGATATACATCTACTTGACTTAAGTAGCTAGTTAACCTGTTACGATTATTGCCGAAAGCTTTAAGCCGGCAATTTCGCATTCGAAAATGACAAATCTACTACTGCATGCATTGATGGACAACAAGAGTTATTTTGATATAATTCTCATCAAATACCTTTACAAAAAAGTACATGCAATTCGATTGGAGCACAAACGACATCATAATTGGTAACACACCAATATTTAACAATATTTTTACGATCGTGTGTACACCACAGGTTTATATTTAGATGCGGTTTGAAAAAAAAAATACAAATTTTTATCTCTCGGTTGTATGTTTCCATAACGGACACAACAAACAGAAAAAACAGAAATAAATTACTGCTATTTATAATTTATTTAAATTTGGTTTTTGTACGCCGCATTTGCATATAGACATTGCCTGTTTAAACATTTGCAATTTTACAACCAGTGTCGTCATCTAAAATTAAATTTAATTCTCGAACGGTTTAAAAAACCTATCAAATATTTCGAATAGCAATTTGAAACATGAAGTGATGATTTGAAACATCATGTTTCCGGACACTGATAACTTTCGCCATGCAGTTTTTTTTCTATTGCAGCTGCTTGTAATTTGACAGTGGCATTTATGAATAATTAAGAGAACGCACGTGGCAATCTAAACGATCATTGGCATTATTCGCAGCAAAGCAGCAATAAATTTTTGTTTACACCCAACCACACAATACTCACACGGTTGCGAAGTTCAGATTTATATGAACAGTTTTATTTTAAGTTGTTATCACGGCTTCTTTTTATGAATCATAAAGATATGAATGTTTGTTGCCTAGGACATAACGGGTTCAAAATTCTTTTCCCCTGACATGGAAACAGATGTAGGTAATTGTAATTGTATTCCGTCCGAACAAATATAAGTAGTACTTGTACAATTTGTAAATAATACGTAATAGCGCAATTAACACACATTATCGTTCAACATTGTGGCTTTTATTCTTATCCAGACTTACTTTGTGCAAAGTTATATACAGTTTCCAATTTCCTGTACATTAATCCAACTCCACATCCGTATTAACGTTTGATAACTCGTTGTTTTCGGTCTAAAAATAAACTGCACCAATAACCTGTTTATTTCCTGCACTATGGACACTGATTAACACAAAACCAACCAAACTAACCATATAAATTGTCATTACATAAGTAATGTTGTTCGTGTCCGTGAAAACATTTAATTTGTCGCAAGTACAACATGAAACATGCTTTTTCTAGTGTCGTACATCATTTTATTTGGCAAACATACGCGGATAGCATAATTATCCAATTAAACTTCGCACATTTGTTGCCTAATTTGTACAAACATTGTAATGGGCCGCATCCTCGAATGAAGTGTTCCGTAAGCAACATTCGTAAAAAAAATTCAACTATGCTGGCGGTTAAAAACACCAGCTCCTGTTCGCGTACAGTGGGTTTTAGATGTTGATAAACTGCAGCCGGGTTGAATCTGCGTGTGCCAAAGTTGAACACGGCGCCAATAATAATTGTTTGGATTGAGCTGTTTTATTTGTGTACGGACATGGAAATCGTTTGCTTTGGCATCATATCAAATGAATGCGCTGCATTAAAACATTAAAATTCATCCCGGTGCGAATAAATAAACACGCGTTTTGGTCTACCGATTAAATTCGCTTGTATTTTTTTGAATTCTTAAACGAAGGAGATTATAATGTTCTAAATTTTGATTCAAAATATTTGTTCAAGAAACATTGTGTTAAGCCGCATGAGTACATAAAAAAAATGATAAAAACTCTGCTCTCAAAACTGTACATGCACATGCTCATTTTGCCACATGTAGCTAAATTTATAAATAAAGCAAAATAAAATGCTTAAATTTATACTGCTTGGCTATTTTTAAACTACAAACTTAATAAAATAAAAAGAAATTGCCGTACCTCGTCTGCAAATCCGTCACAAACACTATAGAGGTGAGCGGGCTATAAATAGAAATTCTCGTTCGTCCAGCTATAAATAGAATCGCGACAAGAATACGCACGCATTGCAAAAATAAACACACAACGCGCGCGCGCGTACGACTGCGATTTTTTGCGTTTCTTCAAATCTCGCGCCGGCGTTGAGCGCGACTTGCGCGCAAACCGGTATTTCTTAAGTAAAGGGTGCCCGCTCGCGGTCGCGCACTCCTCGTGAGCTTTTCATTTTCATGTGTGTGCTCATCGTATACTCAAGCGATTTTCTATAAATAGTCCCCGCGGAATATTCGCGCGCACGATTTTTCTCTTTGTTTCTCCCGCCGCTGTCCAAGAAAACCACCTTGGGTGTGCACAGATGTTCCGAACACTTTGTAAAAATGCACTTATTATTTATGCTTCATCGTTAAACTTGTATTATTCTACAAGTATATAAACATGCTCGATGCACAGAAGCAGCATATTAATTAAATATTGATACTTGTTCTCGGAACGTGAGCGACAATAATCGATACCTTCACCTTTATTGATAATAAGACAATAGTACTCATCATTCGCTTGACACAAATTAATAGTTAGTGCGAGTATGATGCAGAAGTAACCACCTGTATATTTATAGATATGAAAGATATTGCAATCAAATGCTTAGGACGCTTGGAGGTCAATTTAAATTTTAAATCGATGTGGCCGAGCAACATCATAATAATACCTCTCTTATCGTATTGCTCCTCTTGAAGTGTACCCAGAGGACATGCAGAAATGAATACTGCATCTGTTAGTGCAGCATTTATAGAATTGAGCATGCACATTTTTATTGCAATCGAAAATTTATATCATATTACAAAACCAAATGTATTCAATTGAATGTTTTTACGGTAGAATTGTTTTTGTTCCAAATATTGACAACAAAATTAGCTAATGTTATTGAACATAATAAAATCTACTAATATAATTCCCCTATCTACGAGTAGAACTATCGAAATTAATTGATACGCGTTGACGATACATGTTGTTCGAGTGCTCTCCAAATATGATCGTTAGCTGATTTAACGGTAGAGTGTACTCACTCACTGATACGCGATAAAAATCAATAATTACCCGGATTAAGAGAGCTTATCGAGGATCACTCGAAAATTAGTGCTACACTTGTGCCGAAAATATCATCAGCCCATTTCATCTATATCCAGAAAATAAAGCAAACGTATCAAGTAATAAAACAACTTGCTTTTTTTGGCATAAACTACCATCTGCCAATTCTAATGTCATTAATTTTTAGAGGATTGAACCCAAGACAGGCGACCGTCTTCTAATGTAATGGAAAATTTCAACTCCGCTTTTACGTTTCAAGTTTGCAAATTTATTTATAGCAATGACAAAACATATTTGTGCCCACTGGCAGAGTTCAAATTTATTTGGAGTACCCTGCCGACCAGAATTGCGACAATAACAACACACCGTCGAATATTTAATAACCGCCAACCTAAAAAATAGTAATAAACTAGACAAACCGGTTTTTTGAAGTCATAGTCAGCCAAGTCATCGAATTAGTTGCATGCTGATAATTAGACATTCGTCGCAATGTCGTTGTTCTACGTTGTTGTCGTCGACGAAAAAAAATTTCAATGTGAAAAGCGGTTTGCAGGCGGCGTCCAAGGTTTACGCTTTAAATTACAATTAAATGTAGTACACGTTTGAGTATTTAAGCACTAAACTGGCTTAATGGCCAGTTCTGCGTTCTATTAATACTAGCATTATTGTCTATTTTTAACTTTTGACAATATTTACGACTTGATATTAGAGCGAACATATTGTTTAAGCTCGACTGAAT